ATCCTAGGCTGTGCAATCCGCTGTGAAAAGAAATACACTTCTTGCACGTTGTTCAATCATACTTGGTGTGATCATCAGGTATCAAAAAATCCAAACATGAAACAAGCAACAACACATACGTTGATGAGATAAATCTTGCACTACGTACCCATAATAAGGACTATGCCATAATTCCCATAGTCTAGCGTCCTTAAGGAAATGCGGGATTTGTATCATCAACAAAATATCACTGAACTGTGTAGGATCTGAAGGACAGCAGCCTCTGCTCCCGGTGGCTGAAGCATCGAAGGCTCTCCAGACTTCCATCAAGCTTCCTCGTTCATGGTTGAGATACGTAGTATTAAAAATCAATCTTCTATTCCTTACTGATTTTACGTAGATACACCCATCAACCGTAAACCCTAATTTTCAATTCATTGGGTTGAATCGGGAGTTTCCGAAAATAGGGGACCCTAATGTAGTACCCTAGATCGTAGGATCCTTATTATAAGGACCCTAAAACAAGGTACCCCTAATTTTCGGCAACCCCCAGCTGAACTACCCATAATGATGTAAAGTGTTGCCCAACCATGACAAAGCTTCCAGGAGCTGCCATCCTCGAAGACGATCTTGTCCGAGAGCACCTCATGGATTTAGGGCTTAGAGTGTAACCCCAAGTCGGGGTTTGGGATTTAGGGTTCAGGCTTGGGGTTATTGGCTTAGGGCTTGGGGCTTGGGGTTTAGGGTTTAGCGTTGATCTTGTCTGAGAGCACCTCAAACCCCTGACGACCGGAGATCGGATCGTACATGCCGCCACGCAGGCGCAGCACCAGGTGTAATGTGGAGTGCTTGTCAATGTTGTATTCTGCTAGAGTGCGTCCATCTTCCAGCTGCTTCCCGGCGAAAATCAAGCGCTGCTGGTCGGGAGGGACGCCATGGAGTTCCTTAATCTTTGCTTTTACGTCGTCGACGGTGTCAGAGGGAGCCAGATCGCGTAGTAACAGTGTATTGCCTGTGAGGGTCTTCACGAACCTGGGCTCAGGGATCTGCTTACTTGGAGGATCATGGGACTTAGTAAGTAGGGTTATAAGCACCTTAATTGGGGTTATAAGTTATAAGTCATTACAAGTATAGTTACCTTATTTATAACCCCAGATACTAAGTCCCATGATCCTTTAAATACCCACAGTCTCCATAGCAGTTCCTTTTTGGGGTTCTTATTTAGAGTCCTATTAGGTAATCCCAGAAAGGAACTACTACAGGGCCTATGGGTAAGGACTGTGAGTCCAAGATGTGGAGGCCTGGAAAACATCATGCTTTCCTTCCCAGACCCCCTTTGGAGGATCCAAAAAGTAGATCCCTTAATGGGGGTTCCTATAAACTACCCTAACTACCCTTAGTAGTATAGGGCCCCAAATTAGGGGACCTACTTTCTTTGGTGTGGCAACTTAAATTAGCACTCCATCTACAGTTGATCTGGACTTTGAAGTAACAAGGGAGCAAAAAGTATAAACTTGAATTTCATACTGGCTCCTTAAGGGAACAGGTACCCCAAAAAAGTATTCAAGTATGGTACTCCAGAACCCAGTGATTGAAACCCTAGACCGACATTTGCAAGCCGGAGACCACTAATCCAAACCCAGAAACCCTACACCCTCCCTGAAGGACGAAAAGAACCCCAAAAGGGTCTAGGGTTCATATACCTTATAGGGATTCATCGTATATTTCTATAGGGCCCCTACTCTTAAGGCTCATTTGGTCCTGAAGGTTTATACACCCTTAAGCAGATCTCAGGAAACACGTAGAAGCCCGCAAGCGAGAAGTCCAGCTGGGAGTTTCCATTGATACCCAGCGCCGCCAGCGTCGCCTCCTTCGGCAAGGCTTGACCGTCCTCGGGGCTTCCAAACCCTAAACCCCAAACCCTAAACCAAAGTAGGTTCGGAAGGTTTAGAGTCTAAGGTTTTAGGGCTCAGAAGGTTTCGAGATGAGGGTTAATGTTTGGGGTTCAGAAGGGTCCAGGTTTGTTTGGTTTCGTTCTTTCGGCGCTTGTGCTTCCCCCTCCTGAGCTGGCGGGATTCAGAATGACACCCCCAATCCATTCCCTAGAGGCTCCATATACAGTGCCATTATGGAACTAGGTCCTTGAAACCATAAAAAGGATGGTCTTCAAGGACCTAATTCCATAGTGCTAGTTTACATGGAGCCTCTGGGTTCTCTCAGGTACTACTCCGATCCAAGCAAGGTTTTCCACGCAGAAACTTGGTCCATCTATTGGAAGTTACAATAAATCCGGATCAGAAATCAGATCCACGGTAGATAATAGGACGCCAGAGAAAAAATGCTTGCACGCAAGCCAATCAACCACATCCATACTCTGACAGTACCAACCCTGTGTGTTCGCCGCAGTTTGGGGAACTTCCGTGGTACTTTGGGTCCAGAAAAGCCAGTCATTGAAATTTTTAGAGACGTAGGACGGCGTCGTGTTTCGTGTTTCTGGGATCTCGCTTTGCATTTTTAAACCCTAACCCTAAACCCTAAAGCCCACACAGTCTCTGGTGATGGCGAGGGATCCCTCTAAACCCCCGAGACCCCGGAGCATAAACATTAGACCTGAACCCCTCAACCGGATATATGGGAGTTTCCGAAAATGGGGGACCCTAATATGCTACCCTAAATAGTAGGATCCCTGTTATATGGACCCCGAAATAAGGTACCCCCTAATTTTCGGAAACTCCCATATAAACGAAAACATCTACCTTCACCACCAAACACCGGGGGTGATGGTGCGGGGATCCCTAAAACCTTAACCCTATAAGGACCAAAATGGCCCAAAAGCCTTATATAATAGGGTCTTTAGGCCCAAAAGCCTTAATATATGAGCCCTTAGGGCTTAAAGAACCTCGAGTGATCCTCAGAGCAACCCTTACACCTGAAATTTGAGTCTTTGGTGTAGATTAGGGTTCAGGGTTTACGGCTTAGTTAATTCCCAGACCATAAACCGCAAAACTGCGAGTCGACACCATGACCCCAACACGCTAAACCCTCAACTTGCACCCCAAAAACCCTTCCCCCTAAATTGTAAACCCCAAAACCGTGTCCTTTGTGATGGTTAGGGATCCAGAGGCATCCCCAATCTGACCTGCAAGCTGATCGATGACGGCCGCAACGGTGTCCAGAGCAGTGACTTCCACCTGGGAGCTTCCGAACATAGGGGACCTTGATCTAAAATCCCAAAATAGTAGGATCCGCATTATAAGAACCCCAGAATGCAAGCCTAAACCCTACATCCTGCAACCCTAAACCCTAACCCCGAAACCCTAAATCCTTGTTATAAGGACCCGGTTTAGGGTTTAGGGTTTAAACCAAGGTACCCCCTATTTTCGGAAACCAGCACCTGGCAAGAGTCGATGGTCAGTGTGAAGGCCCCCTTGAGCTGCTTTGTTGCCTCAGGGTTTTAAACCTTAAACCCTAAACCCCTAAACCCTTAAGGATTTAAGGGCCTACTAGGATGCCCAGTAGTACCCTGATTCCCTTTTTGGATTTAGACCTTTAAAGGCTTTACAAAAATGGTAGTTTCCGAAAATAGAGTACCTTCAAGGGTTTGGATTGGGTACTGCCCCCACGCACTAACAGTCTATAGTAGAGCTACTAATTAAGGTCCTGATATATCTGTTCTATATTATGAATATTACCCAACTGTTACTGAGTGGGGGCAGTACCCAAAGTTCAGGGTTTGAGGCTTCAGTTCGGGTCTAGGAGTTTAGGGGGGGGTGCTTGGAGTTTGAAAGGTGCAAGAGTTGTTGTGGGCCATCTAGCTGGGGTTGAAGGGTTTCGGGCCTAAGTGCGTAGGGGTTTAGGGCGGGTGTTTAGGCTTTCGGGCTTAAGGGCCTAGGGGTTTAGGGTCGGGGGCCTGGGGGTTTACGGGTTCGGGGTTAAGGGCCCAGGAGTTTAGGGGTTATAATTTATGGGTTTAGGGGCTTAGGCCTTAGGGTTTAGGATGGCTTTCTTGCCTCAAGAAGCTCGACCTTCTGAAGCTGGATCCCCTCAAACTGCTGGATCATCCGGAGCAAGGACAGCTCTCTGCTGCGGAAGGGCTGCCTCGGATGCCCAGTAACCTAGGAATATACAGGGCTCCCTTTTTGGTATTGGGTAATTAACTGTATAGGGGACCTGGGACTACAAAAAGGGAAAAAGGGCTCACTGGGAGGACTAGCTTCGTCCGGAGAGAATTCCGCAGCATTTGGATGTCCAGTGTCATGGCTTCGAGCAGCGAAGGGCGAAGAGCTAAGCTACACAGCTGGACTCAGTCCTCGGCACGGATGCAGGATTGAAGCAACTGACAAGCTGCTGAATGCAGCCGGTTCTATCCTATCCGTAGGAGACACATGACTACAAGCCTCGCTAGTTCTGAACGTGATACAAGGCCAAGGCCCTCTACTGACTGTCACCGCCGGGGAGAGTGTTTCAAGCCCCAGTCGACACTTCAATGGAAATCACAAGTGTTTATAAGCCCCATCGCACACGACTTGATCAATGCAACGAACGGATTTGCCACGAGTTTGGGGAGGACTGAGGTAAGCGTAGCCACGTCAAGAGCAACAGCAACCGTGTCGTCGTCATCTTCGCCATCGTCATCATCATCATCATCAACATCAGGCTCTTCTTCCAACCATTCCCAACCACAACCACCACGGATCTCACCACCGTCACCATCGTTATCACGTCCAGTCCGCCTTCAAGGGCAGTGAACCTGCACTCGCGTTTCCTCGGAGAATCGGATCAGATGGCATAACACAACTATAGTTACAACGGTAGGAGCATTCGATTAGTCCAGCTGACACCGAACATATTCAACGACAGCTGCAACAGCAAATTCACAGCCCAATGCGGCAAAGTTCAAAGTGCTGAGGCGCTCATCTACCAATAATAACAGTAATCACAAGAATAATCACTAGTGCCAAGGAATAACATTTGTAACTATCTAGGCCCATCTAAACCAAGATCTCACACGCTTTCGAGGCCTGGATGTCGGTGGTCGTCTGCGGAGCATTCGATGTGGAGGCACGCCTGACAACTTCGCATTGATAAGGGGTTACTACGGTTGAGGGTTTAGAGCTTACGGTTTCGGGTTCATTTCAAGGTCTGCGGGATGTCATTTGGGATCTTTGCTGCCTTTCAAGATTTCACCTGCCGTCGATCTGAAACCTTGAGAGCCTTGCTGTAATTAGGGGCACTGAATAATTCGAATAGGGTTTTGAGTATTTTATACTACAAATACAATCAGGAAACTCCAAAATAGTGTTCGCAGTAATTATTAAACCCAAAACCGTAACAACCTACACCCCAATACCCACATAATGGAACCACCAGAAGAACCATGCACCACCGCATAGAAAATCCCAACCTCAACCCCATACACCCGCACCTCCATAGAAAAACCATATTCCTCAACCCGAAATTGCTAAACTTAGAAAATGGACATGGTATTCTCTAATGAAATATCCACAATAAGAATAAGGTTTGGGGTTATAGAGTAGTTGTCAATCATAACATTATAATATTAATAATGTTATGATTGTTTCAAATTTCAACTAAGCAAGGCTTCATTTATAGATTTGGACAATCCATTAAGACACATTCAGGCTTAAACATAAGAGTTCCAACAATTTTGTTAAAGTCCCTAATGCATCCATCGGGATTATAACCAAAACCGCTTATCTTGCTATGAATATCAATATTTTACTAACAGTCAATCCGCATATACCCATCTGAGCCTTTCAGATCTTCTTTTTGACAAGCTCTTGAACAGAGCATTTTTTTACCCAGCCGTAGTTGGGAAAGTTATGTTTGTTTTCGCGAATAAATCTATCTACATCATACTCGTGTAGTATATTACATCTGATAATTCCCTCTATCAATTCTTCGTTGAATTGCCGTTATTTGACAAGCACAGCACCGATAAGCAAAGCCAAATATATCGTTACACATATCTTCTGGTAGTGACAACTCGTATAGAGCGCAATAACGTTCGTGCTGTTTAACAATCCTTAGACTTACAATTCCGTCGCTCTTCCTTGGGTTCCCTGAAGTAGTCGCGAACCTTGACAACATCGAAGATGTTATTTATTATTTCACCCTGTTCCTTCTTCTTTGAGCATTTCACTGTTAATATGTATATGTAGATATTATATATATATATATATATGTATATGTATATGTAGGCGTTGTTTCTGTACGTGTTTTTCTTCAGAAATTCTGTTCTTATGATGTATCAACTGGAATTTCAATAACTATCCTATCCTTATGTTTGCCGAACAGCATAAAAACAGCATTCTAAAAACTCACCATTCACTAGTAACTGATGGACGTGATGGTTTAGGTTTCTCGGGGTCGGGCTCTGGTTCTGGTGTTTCCTTTGGAAGCTGCCCCCACCCTGTAATAGTGGTATAGTAGGAATATAATAGGGCCCTAATATAATCCTTATAGTCACTATTACAGGGTGGGGGCAGCTTCTAATGTTTCCTCTTCGTCAACGAACTTATTAGGGAATTGTTCGCGTAATCGTTTGCGTATTTCCCTTTTCTGCTTTTCGTATTCTGCCTTAATATCTGCTTGTATGTCATCGACTAATTTGCCGTCTTTCCTTAAACTACCTAATTTTGATAGACAACCTTTCAACAATATATTTAGTTCCGAGTTCGGATGTAGCGCATAATGGAAATGGACATCCCAGTTTTCGTGTTTGATTTTATGTCCGCATTCTTCGCAGAATTGGCTCCCCTTTGCCCTCTCTTCTCTTCGTGCTTCAATATTCTCGTTCTTGTTTTTGCCGTAGCATTTTCTTTCCGCTTCACGGCACCTGTTACACGTCTTAAAACCCTCACACTCTTCAATATCTTTTGTTGCGCTACTCATTTCTCCATCTTACTAAAAAAGTCTAGTCTTTAGGCACGTTTAGACCGAAACAATACTCTAATGGTTTGAACTCCTGAATTAAATTATTAAAACATTGTTATTTAGGGACTATCGGGGCTTTCTTCTCCTTCTTCCAAAGCACGAAACAAACTAATTAGACCATTACTACATTCTGTTGATGTGTTTATGGAAGCAAACGGGGCATTGGCATGGGGGGCACTGTCATAACATAATAAAGATACACCTTCAGGTTGTTTTTAGTAGGTCTTCTAACTGATAAAACTCAAACAACAATTGAAGTCGTTTCTTATACTCCTCATAATGCTAATCCTCTAGTTCATCCAAAACCGCATTTAATCTGGCATCGTAGTTTCTTATGTTCCTACGTTCCTCTAACCGAATGTTCTTCTCTTCCTCTTTTTCTGGTTGTTGGCCCCCCCTTCTCTCCCAGCGGGGCCGGGTTTTGTAGATATTCTAGTATAATTATAATGAGGAACCCCCCAAAATGGTATGGGCAATTATTTAAGCCCCTCTCCTGAACCCTAAACCCTATAGATCCCTTAAAGGAACCCTCAAGGATCCCTTAGGCAACTATTTCAGCCCCTATACCCAAAAGAAGCTTCGCCGAGAGGTCCTTCCACGGCTGAAGGATGGTGAGGCCTGCAGCTCGGTTTAAACTAGGGTTTAGGGTTTAGGGGTTTAAGGTTGAGGGGTTTTGGGGGTTTGGGGTTTAGGGGTTGAGGGTTTAGGGGTTTGAGGCTTAGGGGTTTAGGTTTTTAGGGGTTTATGCTTACTTAAAGGATCATGGGACTTAGCAGGCAGGTTATAACTGGGGTTATAAGTCTCCTAAGTGGGGAAATCCTAACTATAACCTACTTATAATCTTACCTACTAAGTCCCATGAGCCTTTAAGTAGTGCATGAAATTGAGGTTTAAGGGTTTTTATGCGTAAGGTTTAATGTGTAGGCTTTTCTTTTGTTGGAAAGGACAACACTGTACCGCTCAGCGATCTCAGAAGTGTTGATACCAGCAATGAGCTTGTGGTGAAGATTGGAGCAGCAATTGGGAAAGACCTCCTTGGTTCTTTTCGAACTGACACGAATCGCGGCCTCAAGAACGTAACTCGCCTGAACGAATACTCCGACGGCGGCTTCGCCGTCTCGTTCATCGCCTCCGACGTGCACACCGAGCAGCCTGGCGTCCGGATCCGGCGAGTCGTAGATGCCGGAGCCGGAATCTCCGGGTCTCGTTGGCGATATGCCATGAAGGCAAGTGCCTGCTGCGATAGCTTGAGACCAGAACGGTTCCCCTTTGAGAACCTTGTATCGCACAGAACCGTCACGTCGCACGAGCTCAAATGTGTAGGGTTTAGGGCTTAAGGCTTTGTAGGGTTGAAGGTTTAGGGGTCTTTAAAGGTTCCTTCCAGTAGCCTAGAAGTTGAAAAGGGCCATAAGGGTCTATGATTTCTGCAGGAATAATTCACTACGGTTGATGATATAAATCCTGCATTACCCATAATAAGGAATGACTGTACCATAATTCCCAAAGTTTAGGGTCCAATCTCGAGTTCCTATTCCTTGCTGAGTTTAAGTACCTCTCCAGAATACCCTCCCCCCCCCAAAAAAAAAAGTCACCTGAAACATGCGCAGCGTTATTCAGCTATGACAAAGAATACTGGACTTTGAAGTAGCCAGGGAGAAAAAAGTATAGACTATTATTTCACAATGGTTCCTTCAAGGAGCAGGTACCAAAAAACGTATTCAAGTATGGTACTCAAAACCCAGGAATAGGGCTTAGGATTAAGGCTTTAGGGTTCAAGGTTTCGGGTGCCTGGGCAACCCATTGGTCAATAGCCTGGGCATGTACAGGGATCCTTCAAGGGTTTAGGGTTTAGGGGTTTGGGGTTTAGGGTTAAGCCCCAAAAGTGTAAGCTTTCAGCTCCATAGTGGGTAATATTTTGACCAACAGTGCAAATAAAGTGCACTCAGTCAGCTACGTAGAGTTTTAGGTGTGTTCCTTAAGGGGTTTGAGAGTCGAGTGGGCGTCGCCTTGGGTTTTATAAGGCTTCTACAAGTTCTGAAGGGCTGTGTGAAGCTTTTCACGGTTCCATCATGTTTCTTCAGAGGTTTTTTCAGTTTAGGTCGTATTGGTTTGTGCAGGTTTCTACATACTACGGGGGTTCTATGACAATACGGGTTCAATAGGATGGTTTTAGTTGTAGGTTCAGGGTTTGGCATATCACGGCTCCAGGGACTGACACTTAGGGTTGCAGGGCTTTGAGGCTCCTGTGTTCAGGATTTAAGACGGCCTGGACCAGCTAGAGCTAAAACCAGGAGTCGCATGTTCCAACACTGGGTCGAGTCGAAGTCTCTAAGCATATAAGTAACTAACCAGTGGTTTTGGGGTTCCCTTGGCTCTTTAGCGCCTTACTCAATAGGGATTATCATCATCCCTGGCTCCTTAGCTCCTCCAATATCAAAGGTTAGGTAACCCGAAACAGTATCAGCTAGTCGGGTTTCAGGTTGCCCACCACCATTCAGAGTATCGTACAGCTACTTGGGTATTGGAAGCCTCTAGTAGGAACATCCTACATTCTGAATCTCGTCAAAGATCCAGGGCGTAGCAAGGAGGGTATGGTAGGTAGGCTGCTAAGTAGTGCTTCCCCAGACGAACTTTTTGGCTGGCCTTTACCGAAAATATTGGCAAATCAGGTCTCCTTAGACCAAATGAGGGAAACAGAAAACCCTTAGCCCTAAACCCCTAAACCCTAAGCCCTGTTAAAACGCCGGACAGGCCTTCGGGCTGCTACTGCCGCTGCGGCCTTGCTTTTGCAGCACCAGCACAGCAAGGGACGGTGCAGGCTCTTGCACAAAGCCTGTAACCGGGTTGGTACGATGTGCCTGCATTATGGTTAAATACATATATACATATACACATGTACATATACATATACATGCATAATTACGCATGTATATGTACATACATACATACATACATACATACATCCATACATACATACATACATACATACATGCATACATACATACACATATATGTATACATATACACACATGTAAGCGTGTATGTAATCCATACGAGTGTTGCCTATTCCCAGACAACAAGGTTTGTAGGTTGCCTAAGCACGGCTTGCACCCGTTGTTTTGAAGCTTACTTGCAGGGGCAGGGGACTTAGTAAGTCGTTTATAAGTAAGGTTATAATTGGGGTAACTCCCTTTAGAGTAATTATAACTCTGCTTCTTAATTACCTAGTTACTAAGTCCCCTACCTCTCCAAGTAGCTGTTGGTGGGGGCGATAGAGGACGCTTCGAAGCCTAAGGCTTGGAGGTCTCCCCTTAGGCCGAAGGCTCCATGTACCCATATGGGTAGTTGTCAAAATGAGGGTCCCGTTTTGGGTCCCTATGATATTGCGGCACCTAATATTTAGGGTGCCCAAAAGGGGACCATAATTTTGACAACTACCCATATAGTATATACTTAGGCCCTAGAGTACCCATATAGGGACCCCTGTAAGGGTTAAGCATCTACTGTAAAGGTACATGGAGCCTTTGGGTTAGCTAGGGCAGCTAGGGGTAAGTGCGAGCGTTTAGGGAGCGTGGCTGTCGGGCTATACCTGGCTCTTGCGCGGGCAGGGGGAGCTGTAGCCTCTATGATGTTTGGGGCATAAGCTGGCTTTATGAAGTTTTCCGAAATGCTTGTAGACCTCCAGCTTGCCCGAAATCAGAAACGTAAACGCTCCCTTAAACTCAATAAACCCATCTGGACCTCGTTTAAGGCTTCAGTAGTGCTTCTTGTCAACCAGAAAGCGATGCGAAAAGCATCAAGCTCTAATCGGATCATTAATTAGCTATTTCTTGTTGTTCGGAGTTTCTTTCGCGCAAAGTTGAGTCTTCTACTTCGGGTTCCAAAACTTTAGGGCTCTGCCCTGAGAGCTTGGACTCAGGTTTCAGGATCAAGGTTTCGGGATGTTTAGGGTGCAGTTGTAGGGTTCAGGGTCTAAAGGAGTGACGACCTAATACTTGGAGGGGCAGGGGACTTAGTAAGTAATGTTGCAAGTAAGGTTACAACTGGGGTAACTCCATTTAGGGTACTTATAACTCTACTTATACCCTAGTTACTAAGTCCCCTGCCCCTCCAAGTAGGGTTCAGGGTCTAAAGGAGTTACGACTCAATAAGCTTGAAATTTCAGGCCGCAGTCTCATCGCCTGCATGTGTGCAATTCCTGCTTCGTGCAACAAACATGCAGGCGCGAGGGGACAGCAAAGCCCGCGATAATTGCCCCAACATTCACAGGCACACGCGTCAACGTCCTTATAAGCTTCAATGTTCAGTTTAGGTTTATCACGCAAGCTTTCGGAATAAGACTTTGCCTCATAAAACCCCAAAACTCCAAAAAACCCACACTCTGAACCCTAAAGTCTGACCTAGAGTCTAGGGTTCAGTGCTTCCGGATAGACAACCTAAGGCCTAAACCCTGAACCCAATTCATTCTAGACGTTCAATTGCTCGAAAAGCCTAAACGAACTACTAACCCTACCCTCCCTACCCTACCCTACCCTACCCTAGCCTACCCTACTGAAAACAAGAACCTGCACAAAAGCTTTCACCCCGCCTTGAAAGTCTTCTTTTGTGCCTCCCACCCTGAGGCCCCATACCCGAAACCCTAAACCGAACCCTAAACTCTCTGAACTTTCAACCCTGAACCCAACACACACTGAACCCTGAAAAACCTAAACGCTGAACCCAAGACCGAAAACTCTGAGCTCTAAATCCTGAAAGACTAATCCCTCAACCCTGAACTCTCATGAAGCTAAGTGCCCCGACCCAGAGCGTCCCTGGAATCTCCCCCGCTGAGGCTGCCTGGGCCGATGCTTTTGGGATATTACGGTTGATGATATAAATCCTAGGGCTCCTGTAAAGGGATCTATAAGGGTACCTTTAAGGGGCTCCTTTAAGGGATGTATAGGGTTTTAGGGTTTAGGGTTTAGGGTGATGATATAAATCCTGCATTGCCCATAAGAAGGACATATACCGTAATTCCCATAGTTTAGGGCCCTTAAGGTAATGCAGGATTTATCTCATCAACAGTATAAACCCAAAGGGTCCGAGTTACTGTTATGGTGGATACTTCCCCAGATCATACTAGTAACTCCTAATATAGAACCAATTCTACTATCAGTGTACTTTGGACCGTTTGGCTAAGGATGTTTTCCAGGGTTTCATAGTGATCTAGAAGAGTCTACGAGCGCAAAAAGCCCTAAGAAAAATTGCATTGGAGGGCTGTTGTTGAGTTGTTTGGGCTGTTGGGGTTTAGGCTTCTCTGGGTTTGGGGCTTTGTGCCAATGGTGTGGTGCGATCAGGATTGTCATTGGGAGCTTCTCAGAAAGGAGTTCCCAACGGGTGCACATTGCTCCAACTAGCTGCGTGTTGGATATACTTGGGCACCCTAAACCCTAAACCCCTAAATTCAGCTGGCATCCGTACTGTCGTATTTACTGCTTTGAGAAGAGGGTCAAGACCGGCCCTCCACCCATGTTCCGGGCAGGCAACCCCAAGGCAGACGATTACCAAGCATGCAGACCCGGCGCCTGTATCAACCCTACTTAAAGGCTCATGGGACTTAGTAAGTAGGTTATAATTGGGGTTATAAGTCCCCTAAGTGGGGTTACCCGAATTATAACCTACTTATAACCTTACTTACTAAGTCCCATGATCCTCCAAGTAGACCCTAAACCCTAAACCCCATAGATCCCTAGAGATCCCTTTAAGGAGCCCTTTAAGAACCCTTACTAAGTCCCATGAGCCTTTAAGTAACCCTAAACCCTTAACCGAGTCTCGAGGTTCGCGTACACGGCTCCGAGGCTCCCGTGTGGGGTGCTTCTGTTGATGATATAAATCCTAGGGTTCCTTTAAAGGGATCTATAAGGGTACCTTTAAGGGGCTCCTTTAAGGGATCTATAGGGTTTAGGGCTCAGGGTTATGATATAAATCCTGCATTCCCTTAAGGACCCTAAACTATAGGAATACTGGTATATCCCTTATTATGGGTCATGCAGGATTTATATCATCAACCGTTACAAGGATGATGGGCTGGGGATCATGACTTTGTGACACTCCCATGGTAGGAGCTTCGGAAAACTATGTGGGGCTACTCACGATTCGGGCTCTCTTTTCGAAAAGTCGGTTTTATGAAAGTTCCATGCAACTACTTGCGGACAAAAGAAGCAAGTTCAGCTGCTGTAAGCTTCGGCGTTTACGATGTATGAGCAAGCTGCGAACAGAACACGGAATGACACCTGAAACCCCAGGCCAGCAACACTTCTACTCCAAGATCCTTGCATCCGAACCCTCTCTCGCCAACCCCCAACACCAAAACACACATCATTTCTTTCTAGATCTTGGATCTACCCAGAGGCTCCATAGTAGTTCCTTTTTGGGATTACCTTATAGGATTCTATATATGAACCCCAAAAAGAAACTACTATGGAGCCTCTGGGTATATCCTAGCTCCAGCAAAGCTCGAGTGCAGCCCGGGCTCTGTCTCCATCCCCAACACCGCCCGACTCTTCCTGCACAGAGTTCGGACGAGTTGTACTACGTAGTACTAGCACTAGGCTACTCTTACCCCTCATCCTGCTACTAGTATTCCTCCTGCTGCTGCTGCGGCTGCTTGGTCTTGAAGGTTTTGGTCCTGATCATATGGGAGTTTCCGAAAATAGGGGTACCTTATTTTTTGGGTCCTTATAATAAGGATCCTACTATTTAGGGGACTATATTAGGGTCCCCTATTTTCGGAAACTCCCATATGTTAAACTACTGTTACAGTTGGAGCATGTACCGACACAGGCTAGACGGAACCTGTGAAATACCGGTGCAACTTGCTCCCATCTATCCTGGACCACGACGCAAATAAACAAGATCAGGCCAGCACCCTTCACATGACTCCTAAACCCTAAACCCAAAACGCCTTAATCCTAAACCCAAAACCCTGTATAAACCTCAAACCCGCACCCCTAAATCCCTGAGTCTTATTGGAACACCGACTCGGAAACTGAGGCCTACAAGACACCTTCTCCGCCTCCGGAAGCCTTGAATCCTGCTGAACTCGAAAAGCCTAAACCCAAGTCCCAAGCCAAAAACGGCTTAGCAATTCAGGCTTCTTTTTATGTGTGATGGCCAGGAACCAGTCCCCATTTTAGGGCTTAGGGTTTCGGGTTTTGGGGTTTCGGGTCTATAGGGTATCCGAAGCCGAACAGGCCCCAAAAGCCACAAAAGCCCACAAGACTGAGCCTTCAACACTAAAGTCCGAAAAAACAAACGACACCCAAAAGCCCTAAATCCTAAAGCCTTATAGATCTCTTAAAGGTATCCTTAGAGAAATCCTTATAGATCTCTTAAAGGTATCCTTAGAGAAAACCCTTAAAAGCACCCTAAAAGCCCTAAGCCTCGAAGTTCGAAGCCACTACGCAACCCTAAGGCCCCTAAACACGCCAAGCCCTATAAACCCTAAAGCCTTGTACTTGGAGGCCCTTTTGACTTAGTAAGTAGGGTTAGTAAGGTGGGTTATGGGGTTTCTAATAGGGTTTCTAGGGGATACTAAGTAGACTTACTAAGTCAAAAGGGCCTCCAAGTAAACCCTAAAGCCTTGTAGATCCCTTATAGGAACCCTTAAGGAACCCCGTACTGGAACCCTAAACCCTCATAGATCCCTTAACGGAACCGTTAAGAACCCCTTGAAAGAACCCTGAACCCTTATAGATCCCCTAAAGGAACCCTGAAAGGAGCCCTTAAAGAGAACCGTAAATCTTATAGATCCCATAAAGGAACCCTGAAAGAAACCCTTAAATGAACCCTAAAAGCCTTGTAGATCCCTTAAAGCGAACCCTTAAAACGAACCCCAAAACCCTTATACAGATCCCGCAAAGGAACCCTTAAAGCACCCCTTAAAGGATCGCTCCTTGGGGATGAAGCCCAGCATGTCCGCCGACTTCTTGCGGACCCACTCGGTTCAAAGGAGGCTCAGAAGTAAGTCAGGCTTACGGGCCCCTTTAATTTAAGGGATCTTTGGGGGTGGTTTTAAGGGTCCCTTTAAAGGTTATTTAAGCGGTCCCACTGAAGGGATCTATAGGGCGCTTTAAAGGATCTACAGGTGTGCGTCAGGTTAAAAGCAAGGTAGTTGGGGAAGCGGAAAGTATAAGCATAGCTGCCCATAATTACCCTAGTTACTTACAAGTTAAGTATAGGCCGTATAAGCTTTAAGACTTAGGGTTAGGACCCACTTGGGTCAAACAAAAACAAACCCCAAATGTGTCTACCTCCGGTAATTCTGCACTCTGCCCTATTTTGGTTGATAGAACTAATGAAACAGTTCTTCGAAGAAGACACGTGCGGGCGGTTCTTCGGATAAGGATCCTTTCTCGGACTGAAAACTGATAGCGTCCTGTCGCAGCTTTAGGGAACTACCCACGATTACGCAGGCTTCGTTTATACAGAAGACAACCAGACCCTTAACCCCAAACCCGAAACCCAAATAGCATCGTCACAGAACACCACCACCAGTACACTCACCAATTACACTCACGAATTCCCAAGGGGGCCTCACGAAGCTCTAGAATAACAGTTTAGGGTTTAGGGTTTCGGGCCTGCATCCACAACCACTAAACTACAAGCACCCCCAGACAAAGCCCCTGATTGGCAGGTGTGGCAAAAAAACCCGTTGTTATGTGCACGTACCACTGGCTTCTGAACAGGAGGGCGCGATGACCTCTTGTCAGATTCCACGTACAAGGCTGAGGAGATTCGTGGTCTGAGGCTTGTGGGCCCCAAGATCGTACGCCGTCCGGGGTGTTCTGTCAGATTGGAGGCCTTGCAAGTGATATATATATATATATATATATGTATATATATACTATACTGTATATATATATATATATATATATATATATATAAATTGGGCCTTGATGATTAGACTTTGGCTTGGGGATGTTAAGTCAGCAAAGCCTCTCAAGTGATTTAAAGTCTTTAGAGGCCTTGATGACTGGACTTGGGTTTGGGGATATGTTGAGTCAAGTTGGGCAAGCTCCCTACTTAGGTAACCAGAGTTTCCTTCCGGGACGAGGGCGAGCTTCTGGCCCTCGTGCGTACTATAGGGGCCTAAATGTTTACCAACACGATTTTGGGGGTTCCCGAAAATATGAGTATAATGGCCCCAAAACACTATTCTAGTTACTAAGGCTCCTATTGTAATGCGCCGTTGACTTCTACTCGCTTGACCGGCCTCGCATTTAGACGCTCGATCACCCTAAACCCTAAACCTTAATCCAGCGCCTCCTTCCACGTGTCAGCTCGGTTTTCGCATGTCACAGAGTGCACTTGCACATATAATTTGCTCCCTACTTCCTGAATCTTCAGCCCTAGCCCGGCATCGAGCACTTCGGGGTATTTACCCTTTGAAGGAAGTCTAGGCCCCTCCCTCCCTCCCTCTCTCCCTCCCTCTCTCCCTCCTCTCTCTCTCTCTCTCTCTCTCTCTCTCTCTCTCTCTCTCTCTCTCTCTCTCTCTCTCTCTCTCTCTCTCTCTCTCTCTCTCTCTCTCTCTCTCTCTCTCTCTCTCTCTCTCTCTCTCTCTCTCTCTCTCTCTCTCTCTCTCTCTCTCTCTCTCTCTCTCTCTCTCTCTCTCTCTCTCTCTCTCTCTCTCTCGCTCTCTCTCTCTCTCTCTCTCTCTCTCTCTCTCTCTCGCTCTCTCTGTATATCTCTATGTAGATGGAACCCTCTAAGGAAGCCCTTGAACAGTAGGCTCGCCGCCAAGTTGACACTCGCCATGGCTAGAGCCTTTTTTGAAGTGCGATGCTTGCGCTCGGTCGTGGAGCATGGGGCGTAGTAAGACCCAGCTTAAAGGATCATGGGACTTAGTAAGTAGGTTCCTTTAAAGGGCTCCTTGAAGGGATCTATATAGGGGTTCTATAAGGGGTAGTTTAGGCTGCTTCAAGGATCATGGGACTTCGTAAGTAGGTTATAATTGGGGTTATAAGTCCTCTAAGTGGAGCTATCCTAGTTATAACCTACCTTATAACCTTACTTACTAAGTCCCATGAGCCTTTAAGAGAGGGTCCAAGTACTCCCTAGTACAGGACTTTACGGCCCTTTTAGGTACCCAAAAACCATGAGTAAGGACTTCTTGGACCCTTAATAGAACAAAACAAGCAGTTTGTAAGTACCTCAAGGTACCTTAGGCGGTGGTTCTACCATGGTTGGGGTTATAAGTACTTTAACTGGGGTTATAGGTGAACATGCACATTCCTGCCATGTATATAACCCGTCTTCTCCGTCAAGTAAAGCCTACCCTTGAGGGTGAAAGATGATCTAGAGGTTCTGGGTTTAGGGTGGTCGTGGTCGGTCTGTAGTGCGGTTAGGGCTTGGTTTTATGCCAGATTTTACGGGTGGAAAGTTAGGAGCGTAGTTTGGTGTTAGGAGCTCAGGGCTTGAAGTCTGAACCGTTTGAGCCTGTCCTTAGTCGGAAGGTCACGACGTCTGTTTAAGTTGTGTACGACTCTTTAAGCTTTCGGGTAGGCCCCAGCGGTATAGTTTGCACCGTAAACAGATAAATTGATTTCTGAAACCAGGTTGAGGGTTTGGGATTCGAGGTTCAGGGTTTCGTGAGTAGCTTTGAGAATGAAACAAAACATCTGAGAATCTGAGCCCGCTAAGCCTTAAACCATATCGTCCTTTGATCCTAAGCCCATCTACAACCCTAAACCCTGAGCCCTAAACCCTACAACCTAAACCCTGAACCCTTTTTTTCCTGAGCCCTAAGCCCTAAACCCTAAGCCTAAAATCCTGAAACCGAAACCCTAAACTCTAAGCCCTAAGCCCTAAAACCTAAACCTTATGCCCCAAACTTCACCCATTAAAGCCTGAGCTCTACCGTCCTCACGTCCTCCTCTTGGCCCTGAGCCCCCACTCCGAGCCATTGGCACCCGGGCTAAGATAAAAGCCTCCATAGGGCGTAAGGTTTGGAGCTTAGGGGCTACGGTTTAAGGTCTAGGGTTTAGGATTTAGGGTGTAGGGTAAGGTTTAGGTGGGTTTCGGGTATACCCAGGACCTCCCAAGGGCCCTTCAATAGAGTCCTTATGGCCCTTAATAGTGGGTATTTGGGCTATGTTAAAGAGTAGTTGGGGGGTCTAGGTAGGGTTTAGATTTTAGGAAGTAGGGTTGACGGAACCTCACTAGCTAGGGCTCACTTCCCTGATTATTACAAAAAAACACTCCAAAACCCTCTTCCACGCAAAATTCAGGCCCATACAAAACCCGAAACATCCCTAAACCCTAAACCCACCGTCCTAATCGACTTATTAAGGCCCCTATATTTTTCCAATCCTTCCAGGCGTGCGCCTGGGAGCGGGCGGAGCTAACGGCTCCCTCCGCATTTTCGACCTTTGCTGCTCGCTCCAGTCGAGGGTTCAAGGCTTTCGAGGCTTTCAGAGCTTTCAAGCGTTTTAGGGGTTTGAGGGCGGCTTTCAGGGGTTTAAGGGTTTCAGGGCTTCCAGGGGTTTCACGGGTTTAGGGTTTAAGGGTTTAAGGGTTTAAGGGTTTGAGGGGTTTGAGGGTTTAGGGCTTTAGGGTTTTAGGGTTATAGGGATTAGGGTTTAGGGTTTAAGGGTTTAAGGGTTTAGGGTTTTTTGTTTTAAGGGTGCATTGGGACTTAACACTGCTGACTCCCTGCCCACTTCGGGCTTGCACAAAAGACAAAAGGCACACCCCAGTTGAAGGGTTGAGGGTTTAGGGTTTAAGGGCTTCAATTCTGGGGTTTGCGGACATAGACGGCTTAGATTTGGGGATATATGCTTTACGTCACGTAGATTTTATAGTAATTTAGCGAACAGGGCTAGGATGGGAGGTGACTGGCAGCATCTCCATCGAACGGAAGTAGACGAACACACAGACTTGGGGTGGTCACTACATTGACTCAAGTTCAAGTTTTCTTGAGAAGCCGGATCAACCTTCCTAAGTATTGAGCCCTCTGCGTCAGACACGAATGGAATGAACAGTTTCCTCCCTCCTGACCACTATGTTCTTGGTCATGTAGGAGCCTGAGCGGTTAGAGTACCTGGAGGGTCGTTAGACTTAGCAAGTAAGGTTATAAGTACCTTTATTGGGGTTATAAGGAATTAAAAGTATAGTTACCTTATTTATAATCCCAGTTACTAAGTCCCATGATCCTTTAAGTAGGGTTCTGGGCATGGTGTGGTATAACTAAAATGGTAGTTCAACCTGCAGGTATATCGCTGGCAAACATCCCGACCCCCCATACTGTTTTGGTAAAAGCCGATCTTCTCTTTCTTGAAACATGGGAGTTTCCGAAAATAGGGGCCCTCATATAGTACCCTTCATTGTAGATCCTTACTATAAGGACCCCAAAATAGGTTACCCCTAACGTTCGCAAACTCCCACATGGGTCCAACAAGGCGCAAGCCCAAACCGAACCCTGAAGCGCAAACCTAAAGACGCAAGACATGAAGAAGGGTTTCCCGGAGACTCCAATATCCCTTAATCAAGGAATACCTAGGGTCCTTTAAGGGATCTATACGGGATCTATAGGGTTTAGGTTTAGGGGATTCTAATATCCCTGAATTAAGGAATATTCCTTAGATCATGTTAGGGATCCTACTGTAGTTTCAGGCATATTCCTGAATTAGGGGATGTTGGAGTCTCTGGGAAGGCATGGACCCGCACCAGCTGCCGTTCGGCCATATCCTCTTTCCTTTTCCTGGCCGGCACACGACATGTGTTGAGGGGTCCCACTCCAAGCCCCGCAAAAACGAATCCTGAATCCTAAAGACCTTCAGCCTTAGGCCTTAGGCCCTACCCACCTCTACGGTTGATGATATAAATCCAGCATTACCGTAAGGACGCTAAACTATGGGAATTATGGCGTATTTCTTATTATGGGTAATGCAGGATGTATATTATCAACCGTAGTATACCTTGCATACCCACTATTTTATTGAGGACCATAGGGGCTCGATTAATGATTAAGGCGGCGACTTGGGGTGGCCTGCGCTTATTTCTGGTTTCCCGGCCCTGCCCTGCCTGGCCTGCTGCCTGCCCCACTGCCCTGCCCTGCCTTGAAAGCTGCTGGCACAGAGTTCAGAATCGGAAATGGCTTGGGTGCCCTTAGCCCTAAACCCTGAACCCCAAACCCTAAGCCTTAAATCCCTAAACCACCAAATCCTAAACCCCAAAACCCTAAACCCTAAACCCCTAAGCACTAAACCCCGAATCCTAAACCCTAAACGCCAAATCCTAAACCCCAAACCCTGAACCCTAAACCTTAAACCTCTAAGCCCTAAGCCTCAAATCCCAAATCCTAAACCCTACAGCGGAAAGCCCTGAGTCGGCTATGCGAAACAAAGCGTGCTAAGGGCCTACGTAGGGTGGTTGAGGGCTTTGAGTGAGGGTTTAGGATGGGTTTAGGGTTTAAAGGACCCTTGCAAATCCCGAAACCCTAAATCTTAAACCATCATAAACCACCGTTTTATAGGTTCTGGCACCCTGCAGAAACGCAAGGTTTAGGGTTCAGGGTTTTGGGCTTAGGGTTCTCAACCCTACAAACCCTGAACCTTGTTGGTTTGGGGTCAAGGGTTTTGAGAATTCAAAGCATTGGGGAGCTTTGGGTTAGGGTTTTGCTTTATAGACCTTTGATAGAGTTTGTGTTTGATGCTAGCAAGACGTGCTTACCCTAAATTTCAAAGAGCGGGGCAACAGAGCGCAAATATAATTCATCTCCCAAAGCATGCAGCAAACGAACGTGTTGCCGTTGCTTGCAAGCTGGTGCTCCAGCTGTGGAATTGACACGACCGCACCCGTAAAGGCCCGCTTCAGCAGCCGAGCGGCACTGAGCGATTTAGATGTTGAGCCAATCTTGGAGGGGCAGGGGACTTAGTAAGTCGTTTATAAGTAGGGTTATAATTGGGGTAACTCCATTTTGGGTACTTATAACTCTACTTATAACCTAATTACTTACTAAGTCTCCTGCCCCTCCAAGTTCTGCGAGCTGAAGTTGAGCAACGCAGAGACCTTCCACCTTGAGGTCGTCAGTTTGGTCCCAACGCATACTGCAGCTGCTCTTTGACGGTGTGGACCCGCGCGATGCGGACATTGATGAAGATGCTCCGCAATAACTCATAGGGATCCTTAGGGGTGTAGGGGGAGGGGGGGTAGGGGGCCTTAAGGCCCATAATAAGGACTAATAAGGCCTATTTAAGGAAATATAGTCCCCTACACCCCTCCCCCCTACACCCCTAAGGATCCCTATGAATAACACCACCTTTCTTCCCAGGGCGTCGCATGAAACCCTGAAGACAAGGTCCCAAACTCCGCACCCTAACGCAGAGTTCTGATCTAAACCCTCGCGCTACAACTCATGTAATTAAGTGCCTTATTAAGAAGTAGGAACAAGATTTGGTGGCATCTTCTACTACCCTGCAGGGACTGTAACGACCTCAAAATCCCAAAAAGTCCTAAGCACCTATATGCTAGAATGTAGGGCTTCCCAATTAGGAATTACTATGATGGTTTGGGAAGGTATTCCCCATAACAGTACCTTGGACCCTTTGGAAATTGCATTATAATCGTAGAAACTTAAGCCTTAAAGGGGTCCCCATAATATAGGTACATTAAGGCCTAATTATGTTCTATATGGGTCCATGGAGCCTTAGGCTCCAAAATTGCAGACCAAGCCGAAACCCCGATAGATCCCTTATAGAACCCCTTTAAGGAACCCTGTTAAGCTACTAAGTCCCATGATCCTTTCAGCAGACCCTAGAATCGAGCTCAAAAGGCGAACAGCCTCCAAAAGCCGGCGATTTTGTCGGAGGTCCATACGATGGAGCCTTCCCGGAACTCAGGGTCTGGGAGTGGAGGCTTGTACTTAACTTAGTAACTAGGGTTCCTTAAAGGGCTCCTTTAAAGGGATCTATAAGGGTTGCTTATAGTTTTTGTTGAGCGCCTTTTCTGTCTTGCATTTCCAGGCTTATAGGGTGTCGGGTTTAAGGTTTATAGTATTCAGGTTTAGACCAGGGTTTGGAGTTTAGGTCTGAAAGTTGAGGCTTATAGGCTTTCGGATTTAGGGTTTGTCGGATTCAGGTTTAGATCAGGGTTTAGAGATTGTAGCCCCTCACTATGATCTTAAAGTTGAGGCTTATACTTAAAGGGGCATGGGACTTAGTAACTGGGGTTACAAATGAGGTAACCATTACGTATACTTACTTATAACCCCAATTAAGGTACTTAGTTTTTTTTTTGAGGGTCTTTTTCCGACTGCTCCCAGCGAAGGTCTCAGTTCGAGACAGGCTCTTTCAACGCTAACCTTAGGCTTATAGGCTTATAGGGTTTCGATTTAAAGTTTAGGATTCAGGTTTAGGGTTTAGGCCCTCATTATGAACTGATGGTTGAGGGGTTACTTAGTTGCTGCATCCATGAGCACAAACAAGTGTACACTTTCAGTTCCGTATAGGGATGCTGCAACAAAATCTTTAACAGTGTAAGGTGTGCTGACTCAGCTACTATATTTCGGTTCCCCAAAGGGTCCTACGTACTGTTATGCTTCCCCAGATCATAACAGTAATTCCTAATATAGAAACCCTACATTCTACAATAAAGGTACTTTGGATCCTTTGGGTTCTAGGGTTTCAATCTTCCGATATCGGGAGTTTAGGACTGAGCGTTGATGAGTCTGGTCAAGAGTCTAGAGTTTGAGGGAGGGCTACTTAAAGGATCATGGGACTTAGTAAGTAGGTTATAATTGGGGTTATAAGTCCCCTAAGTGGGGTTATCCTAATTATAACCTACTTATAACCTTACTTACTAAGTCCCATGATCCTTTAAGTAACGGTTTGCGGGCTAATAGCTTAGGGGTTTGGGACCGATGGGATTTAGGGGTTCAAGGTGGGCGTTTGGAGTTGATGGGACCCTAGCAGATGTGCTCTAAACGACTCGAAACCAGTGTTGCGGGGTTCTAGGTTTCAGGACTGCCAGTACAAAGTAATCCCTAAACCCTGAATCCTGAACCCTAAACCCTGAAACCCTGAACCCTGAAACCCTGAACCCTGAACTCTGAAACCCTGAACCCCGAACCCTAGAAGAACATGGACGCCCCTGACGCTAAGCCCTGCACCTCTTCTATTCTGCCCCATCCTCGAGAGAGTTTCAGGGCTTCTTTGGGGGGGTCTCGGGGCTTTCTTCAGAACTTCGAAGTTGACGGCAGTTTAGGGTTTAGGGTTTAGGGTAATTTTGGCGACCCTTTAGAAAAGGCCTTAGGGATTTAGAGTTTAGGGGTTTTGGCTGCCTCAGGGCCTTGGTATTTCAGAGATTAGGATTCTTCGGGGCCTTCCGGGACCCAAGAGCCCTTTCATAGAGTCCTTATGGCCTTTAATCGTGGGTATTTGGGGTATATATTAGAGCGTAGTTTGGGGGGGTCCAGGTTTGGGCTTCAGGGCCTAGGATTTTTGGCATTTTGGGTTTGGGGATATTGGGATCTCGATTTAAATTGACGAACCCGCAAGCTGCGCTACTATTTTCGGCTGGGAAGGTTTGGACCCAGCACAGAACCCAGAGACACTCATAACGTGAAGTTCATTCGAAATTCATGAAACTACACTCAAGCAGTCAGTGGCCTTCCACTTTTCGGGATGTGCCATGACTAAACCCTGTACCCTGTTCAGGTGCGGTTTGCAGTAGTTCCGGCGGAAAACAGACCTTGACCATTTACCAATACATACGCTTCCTTACGGTGCCTGCTAAAAGTAGCGTAGTACAACCCCACACCCATCTTCTAAATGTTAAGGCCCCAACATACAGTGGCCTCATAGTAAGGGACGCTCGGGACTAATGTTTCCCTGAAAAGTTGTGCAAGACTCCTTCACCCCGCTGTCAGAAGCTTCAAGCTTCAACGTGAAACTTGTGGATAACTAATGTTTCAACTTCTCTCAAGAGCCCATATTATCACAAGGACCCATAGGCGGGTAAAGGGGAGGGGGGCAGGGCCCTAATAAGGACTTGATAAGGGCCTACTAAAGCCGATCTTAAAGGAAGTGTGTAATACCCTACCCCCCTCTCCCACCCCCCCTAACGGTCCCTATCCCTGGGGATCAAGATAGCCCAAAAGCCTTAAAGAGTATGGTCTTTGGGCCCAAAAGCCTTAATATATGAGTCCTTAAGATCCCTAGGGTATTACATTGGGTCTGCGGCTTTAGCGTTTAGCGCTGGACTTCCAGGCTGGCGTTTCGGGTTTCAGTCCCGTGCATGGACCTCATACGGGAGTCTGGGCCACCAAAAACGCAGCGCTCTAAGCCTTGCCCTAAGGCTCTGAGGACTCGTCTTTCAAGGCTTTTGGGCCAAGAGACCGTATTATTGTATGAGGCTCTTGGGCCATTTGGAGCCTTAGGGTGAACCAAAAATCAATCCGAAAAGGGGCTACAACCCCTGATGCGCACTATATTACCAAACCTTCGACCCCAAAATCGAACCACGTAGAGTCTGCGATGTAGCGCGCTGTTTTGGCTACCTACTATAACGAATTAAATAGAGAACCCTCAAAATAGTATTGGTGACTATTGAGGCCCCTATAGTAAGTGAACACCCACAGTCAAGATCTCGATCCGAAATCTCCACCCGAAACCACCTCAGTATGCCCTAAAGCCCAAAACTTAAAGCCAGTAAACGGGAGAGTTTAGGGTTTAAGGGTTTGGGTAGCACCATCGCCCATCAGACTAAAGCCCTACTTGGAGGATCATGGGACTTAGTAAGTAAGGTTATAAGTACCTTAATTGGGGTTATAAGGAATTATAAGTATAGTTGCCTTATTTATAAGCCCAGTTACTATGTCCCATGATCCTTTAAGTAACTCAGAAACAGAGATCACAATGTGCAAACCCAGAAGAAGTCCCGAGAAGGTTAGCTTTGAACTAGCGCCAGCTGCCATCCAATCTGAAACCTGAATCCTAAACTTGAAGGATCATGGGACTTAGTAACTGGAGTTATAAATGAGGTAACTATACTTATAATTACTTTTTATCCCATTAAGGTACTTATAACCTTACTTACTAAGTCCCATGATCCTCCAAGTAGACCCTAAACCCTGAACCCTATAGATCCCTTTAAGGAACCCCTATTAAGGGAATCCTTTCAGGAACCTAGTCTGAAACCTGAGACCTAAACCCCACACCCTAAGCCCTACACCTGTAGCCTCCATCCTCGGGACCAGACTCTACGGTTATCTCCCGCTGCTGGCGAAATCGAGCCACTGCCTTGGGCAGGCTTTGGAGAACTCTCAACAGGTTTACCCAAAGGCCCCAAAGTAGTTCCTTTTCGGGGTTCTACTTAGAATTCTACAAGGTAATCCCAAAAAGGAACTACTATGGGGCCTATGGGTAGTTCTGTTCGACTTAGTGGAGGCTTGCTGATGGCTAGCTTCGGGGTTCAGCGCTTTGGGGTTGGAGCTTCGCAGGTTGAGGCATTATAGACCTCCTCTCGGATGTCATAACTTGGCTGGCGCCTAAACCCCTCCTAAATGTTAGGCGTTTAGCCTCCTCATTATAGTTCAAATAGAGACCTAAAAAGTTAAAGTCCTAAGAGCCAACCAGAAGAACGCCAAGATAACCTTATGTCCTAAACCCAAAACCAGAAACCTAGTCATTGGTCGAGCAAGGAGCCGACAAGTTCAGCCCTCATTCATCCGTGCTCCCGAGAGGCCTCTAACGCTCTGCCTAATAAGCTTGTTTTGGTGGCTCTGTCTCGGTCCTCCTGCCGCTTGTGCCAGGCCCAAGAAGAAAGGCATCATGTCCAACTGACTGCGTGCCGAAGCAGAAGCTCGATCCCTACCACCGCTGCTGATGTTCCTCCTGTTCTTGGGTTGCGACGAAGTTTCGGGAACTACAAGTAGCGACAAAGCAGCTAGACCGAATCCGGACTGCTTAGTTAATTCTAAAGTTGAAACCACGGGCCCCTAGTATGGGCCCTGAACCCTGGGATCCTGATATACCTACTATATACCCTTTGGGGTCCCTAGCATCCCCCTGCAAGGGCTTGGGGCCCATACTGTTGATGATCTAAATCCTGCATTACCTTAAGGACCCTAAACTATGGGAAGTATGGTATATTCCTTACTATGGGTAAGGCAGGAGTTGTATCATCAATCGTAGTAAAGGCACATAATTACTTGTAGCCTTAGATTAATACAGCGGCCCGAGGCTTGCGTGAATCCCTAAAAGCACCAACAGAAAAGCCATAACTGCTGGGATACTTCATAATCCCCTCTTTAAGTAAGGTAGAGACACCATGAGACACCTCACCCACAAGCTAACCCTAAGGCTCTAAGGATTCATACATTAAGGCTTTTCGGCCTGAAGACCACATTATATAAGGCTTTTGGGCCATTTTGAGCCTCAGTGTAATGTTTGAGTGCATTTTGGTTCAAACAACCCTAAACCCTGAACCCCTAAACTATACTGAACTTAGACTTAGAACCCTAGCACCAATTTTAATTTTTGGCTGTTTCTTAGGGCTTCTAATAACAAAAATATAAAAATATTTCTAAGTATCCCTAAGTAAACCCTAAACCCGAAACCCCCATCGCCTCATCTGTCTCATCCTCGTCGAGCGGGTCGTCGAGAATGGCGCGGTCTGCAACTATCCTGAAGTTTCGTGGTATATACCTACTTGGAGGGGCAGGGGACTTAGTAAGTATAAGTACCCTAAATGGAGTTACCCCAAGTATAACCCGAGTTACTAAGTCCCCTGCCCCTCCACGTAGATCCCCAACTACCCTCTACTATACCCTAAGTAGCCATTATTCAGGGAATAATGGCTTTTATCGGCGGGAGTTCTGGGACTCGAAAAGACGGCTCCGTTAACGTTTTACGGCTTTACGGTGTTTGTAAGAGCTTCCAGGGCTTCGAAAAAAGGTGTTCAGTCTGGGATTTTAGGTACATTTTCATTTTTAGGTTTGGGTGTTTGAAGTGTTGGAACTCAATTTCGGGTTCCTTAGGATGTATGTTCTTTTGGGGTTGAAACGGGTTTTATAACTGCTTGATCAGGTTTTGTACGGGTCTACAGCTATAGGCATTCAGTGCTTCGAGAATTTGAAGGCCAGATTTCGAATGCGGGACATACAAGTTCGAGGTCGAAGGCTTTGGGCTCGGATCTTCTGTTTCCGGCCCTTGCTATGTGACTAACCCTAAACCCTAAACCCTAAACCCCAAAACCCTAAACCCTAAACCCTAAACCCTAAACTAAACCCTAGTTTGTGAATCTCTAAACGCCGCAGGCAGCCGTCAGCCCCGAAACTTCACGACTCCCAGTCGGCCTCTTCTTCTGCACAGCCGGCCCCTGATCCCTGGCGGCTTATCAAAGGGGAAAAGGAGGGACCCTTAATGGGGACCCCTACCCTATAATGGCCTATATAATGGGTATATAATAGCGATATTAAGGGTATATACCTAGGGGTCCTTATTAAGGGTCCCTCCTTTTACCCTTGGCGGCTTTGAGAGTTTCAGGGTCTGTAGCCCTAGGCTTCCAGGGACCTTATTATTGGGTCCTTCAGGGGTCTAGGGCCCTAACTATGAGGTCCTTGGAGGCCTTGGGTAGGGGTCTACAGTTGAGGGTTCAGGGCCTAATTATGATTTATTATATACATGAGCTTCAGGGTCTGTAGGGGTCTACAGTTGAACGTTCAGAGCCTAATTCTAACTTACTACATGGGCTTCAGGGTCTGTAGGGGTCTACAGTGTTGAGGGTTCAGGGCCTAATTCTGATTTATTACATGGGTCGTAGGCTCGGGAAATGCAAGGTTCGCAAGGAGAAGCCTGAGCAGAAGCTGCCTTCCCGCCTGGCAAGTGTCAATAAACCGAACCTGACCCTTACAACCGAAAGAGCTGCTAGCCTACCACGGTGGATGATATAGATCCTGCATTACCTTAAGGTCCCCAAACTATGGGAATTATGGTATATTCCTTAATATAAGGGTAATGCATACCTAGGCGCGAGACTCAAAACCCCAAACCGATGGCACTAAGACCACGAAGCTCAAAGCCACAGTCCCAATTGCAACCCCCAAACGTTCTAATCCCGGTGTTCTGCGTCGTTTTGGTTGATTGAGGCTTTTTAGTCTAATGTCTGGGTGTGGTCCCGGCAGTCCTGTCATTCCTACTAGGGTAACGACACTTTTACTTACTTATCACCCCAAGTCAGGTACTTTTAACCTCACTGACTTACTAAGTCCCATGATCCTCCAAGTAGTCTTAGTGCCACTAGGGTGACCTCAATGTAAGTCACTTGAAACCTAAGCCCTCAACCCTTCTTGGAGGGGCAGGGGACTTGGTAAGTAGGTTACAAGTAGAGTTATAAGTCATTACCCTAAGTGGAGTTACGCTAATTATAACGCTACTTATAAACGACTGACTAAGTCCCCTGCCCCTCCAAGTAGTAACTCCTTGGCCCAGGAAAGCCTCAATGTCACATCGAGTCCCGGCGGAGGCCGTTCCCGCAGGTTGACGGCCGCACGAACGCGAGCTGAGACGGGGGGCTCCGGCATTAGAGTTTCGGAGCTTATAAGCGTCCCTGACCCAAGGCTTCCAGGGACTTTATTATTGGGTCCTTAAGGGGTCTAGGGGCCTAACTACAACGTCCTTGGAGGCCTTCGGTGTTTGTGTTTTGTTGACTTGTTGCTACATGGGTTTTGGTTTCTTTGTATTCAAGGTTCAGAGGCTTATAAATGGGTGGTTGTCAAAATGATGGTCCCTGTTTGGGGCACCATTATAATACGGCACCTAATATTTAGGGTACCCCAAAAGGGACCATAATTTTGACAACCACCCAAGTATGGTATAAGCCGGAAACACGCTATTGACGAAGCTTGTACGGATATACGCAGAGGATGTACTACTTGTCACCGTGTCAACTCCGAACACGCAGCCGCAGTACCCTCCCAAAGGGTCCTAGGTACTGTTGCGGCGGATGCTTCCCCAAATCATACTAGTAAATCCTAATATAGAAACCCTACACTCTACCTAAAGACTCACACCTTTTAGGATATCTACTGTTCTATATAGCAGAGCCTGATCATCGAACTAGGTATCCTGACAAAGGTGTAGGGTATGAGCCTACAGGTACTAAACAGGTACATTGGACCGTTTGGGCTTGGACAGAAAGCCAACCGCCAGAGCGTAGGGCGTGGTTGTGCGTGCTCTGGCTGGGTGCGCCCGATTCCAACTGATGAATGACAGTACTCTAGGGGCCTGAATAGTTGATTACCAATACAGTTTTGGGGTTCCTTATTATAGTTGTGGTAGACGATTCCCCGAAATCCTATTCTAATTATTAAGGCCCCTATATTACGTCGGATTTCTTGCCAATTTCAAAGGCAAAACTTATGATGCTTCTCAAATGAAAAAGGCATTGAAGTTTGACCTGGTGACAAGGAAGGTTGCAGACAGTAGGAACCTGCTTGCTTCCTATGTTTAAGGTTGCTGCTTGAAGTGATATTTTTGCCTTGTCGTGGGTACTGAAAGGGTCATGGGACTTGGGTAGTAACAGGGTACTATGTCAATCATGAGGGCCCCTGTAACCGACTCGAACGTCTTCTTCGCAGGTTTCAGGTAGGAATATCATAAGGTATTCATCTAGGGCCTAGAGACTGCAGGGGGATATCACTACAAATGAGTTAGTTCAGCCCTACATGACAATTTCGGTTGCTGACTAGATTTAGGGCTCATGGCCATGGAGTGAGGCACTCAAAGCATAGAAGCCTACATGCACCCCAAGCACAAGCGCAGACCCTTCTAAAAGACCCGCCAGGACGCTATACCCTAAAACCTGCTTCAGCGTATGGCACATCGTGCCTTGAATATAAGAAGCCCTACAGCTCGACATGCATGGTTCAGCGCAGTTTAGGGTTTGGGGTTTGGGGAGTTTAAAGCCTCAACTCCCTCAACCCTTCCTCAGCTCAAGGACCAGGATCCGGGTCCCCGGCGTCGTCCAGAAGCTGAACCTTGGCCAATCTGCGACCATCACAGATGCGACGGTAGGCGTCGCCAGCAACAGCCGAAAGCTGTATTGCACTGGTGCTCCATTGAAAAGGCATCTTGCCGCCTGCGGTGCCATACAGCCCTGCTTGAAGCCTGGCATGCATGATTTCTTTAGCCTTGGTGTCGGCCACATCGTTCATGCGACGGCATGTGGCGGTCGCCAAAGGAAAGTTCGGCACCCAGTCCTTGCTGCGATCCTACACGTACCATCCAGGTACCCTATACCCTAAACCCTAGACCCCAAACACTAAACCCTAGGCCCTAAACCCTAAACCCTAGACCCTAAACCCTAAACCTGAAAGCCTGGAATCGCTCGGAAGATCCAAGTGAATTCCTGATCGCTCAGAGACTCCCAACCCTGTTTAATCAAGGGCTATTTTATATGTGTGTATATGTATATATGGGGTATATAAGGGGGTTCGCTTTCCTTTTGTTCAGACATATATTCTCATTATTAAAACTGGGCTCTCTTTCCATTTGTTCGGACATACTATCAATGGATTAATGTGGGTTCTTTTTTCCATTAGATCAGACATATCACCATTTTAATAGAACTGGGCTGTCTTTCCATTTGTTCAGACATATTATCATGTTATTAAAGCTATTTTTATTCCTCCTCTGACCTCTAAACCCTGAACCCTAAACCCCTAAGGTAAAAGCCAGACAGTTGGAATATGATTATCCTAACCCTTCTATGGTAAATTATAGGGTATCCTACCATGAAACCATATTCCAACTTTCTGGAGTTCCCTGTAAACCCTAAACCCTAAACCCCTAAACCCTAAACCCCTAAACCCTTAACCCTAAACCCTAAAACCCTATACCCTAAACCCTAAACCCTAAACCCTATACCCTAAAACCTTATACCCTAAACCCCTAAACCCTAAACCCTAACCCCTAAACCCTAAATTCATCCTCGGACCCTCCCAGAATTGAGCTGCTGGCTGCAGAGATCTTCGTCCGGGCCCCGGCGATTCCTCCAGCGCCAAAATCGGGGGGGGGGGGGGTTAGGGTCCCACGGTTGATATAAGGGTACCTTTAAGGGGCTCCTTTAAGGGATGTATAGGGTTTTAGGGTTTAGGGTGATGAGATAAATCCTGCATTACCCATAATGAGAAATACACACCCTAATTCCCATAGTTTAGGGCCCTTACAGTAATGCAGGATTTATATCATCAACAGATCAACAGCAGCGCTGGGTGTTTAGGGTCTAGGACTTCGTTTACTTCAGCACACCACGACAAGAAATGCCAGCAAAAGGATGGCATCAGTTCCTTGAGATCCCTAGGATGGTCACTCAAGCGAAGTTCCTTTTCAAAGATCTGGTTGAAGGGTCCAAGGAAGTCATAACCTTGTCCTGACTCCAAGCCCCCCCCCCACTGCCAGAACAGTGGGCTTGACTTCTGTGGCTGGCAACAGTTACCATTGCACCAAGATGTCTAGCTACTTCCGGGTGCAGTAATATCGGCCGAGCAAATGTCCTCAATGTGTTGGGCCATTCCCCCACAAGCCCTAAACCCTAAAACCCTTAAGCCGTAAAGCCCCAAAGCCCTAAACCCTCAAAGCGGAAACTGGCTGCTTGGAGGGGCAGGGGACTTAGTAAGTAGGTAGTAGGGTTATAAGTACCCTAAATGGAGTTACTCCAATTATAAATTATCACCCTACTCATAACCTCACTTTACTAAGTCCCCTGCCCCTCCAAGTAGACCCTAAACCCCATAGATCCTTTTAAGGATGCCTATAGATCCCTTTAAGGAGCCCTTTAAGAACCCTTACTAAGTCCCCTGCCCCTCCCAGTGTATTCCCTTGAAGACACCTGGACACAGTCTGGGAGTTCGGGAGCAACCCGGGCACTCTTGACATAGAACAGCGATTTAGGGTTTAGGGCTTAGGGTTAAGGGTTGTGGGTTTAGGGTTATCTTATCAACGATGATACCAATGGAACCAGGTGTGTCCCTGTCCATGCCACCAAAGTCCCGCATGACCGGGTGGTCCACCGAGAAGGACTGGAAGCTCTCGGATGGAAAAGCCAGTCCCTGCAGCTGCCAAGCATTTTCTCTTAGGAGCTGCAAGCTCTTAACAGCATCCTCCATTCGCTTCCGCTTGTCAGCGAGTCGTCAGCGAGTCGCTTCCGAGCAGTCTTGGTAAGCATTTGGCCAGGAGACTCAGCCACACGTTTGGGTTTCACCGGGGTCTTGGGTGTTTGCGCAGCATCGTACAAAAAATTATTTCCAGTATTTGTCGACTCCCTTAACCCTAAACCCCTGAGCCTTTCGCCCGTAATGGACCAGGCCCAACATAAAGGTTCGACAGTGTAGGGGTTTAGGGTTTAGGGGTGTAGGAATCAGGGGTTTAGGGGTTAATTAGGGGTTCGAAGAGTGTGAGTGGATGATTGCGAATCATTTTGTGGTCCCTGCACAAATATTAATGCATCTTATACACTATATTAGAGCCCAGCACCTGAATCTAAGTAATTGTTAAAGTTATAACCCTTCCGCGGACAAAGTCGCTCTCCAATGAGATTGCGAAAGCTCGGTGTTTTAAGGGTTAGATGTCTTAAGTGCCTGCAGCATCCCTCCTTTCAAGAATACTCAGTCAGTTTCAGCCCCGCGCGAGATCCTAAACCAAACACCGCGAGCGTCACAAGTCCAATAAAAGCCTTACTGCATGCCCTACACACCCTAAAACCCTCAACTAAGAAGAACACAAAAACCCTACTTAAAAGCTCATGGGACTTAGTAAGTAAGGTTATTACAATTAGGATAACCCCACTTAGGGGACTTAAAACCCCAATCCTTTAAGTAAACCTAGACTGGCAACCCGGAGCTGGAAATCCCAAAGCATGGCACGTGCCTGCAGCAAATGTGCAACGCCTCAAAAAGATGGCTGTAGTTCTGCTTCCAGTGCCTTGGCATTCGTTGAGGCCTTCAGTGTTCTTAAAGGATCATGGGACTTAGTAAGTAGGTTATAATTGGGGCCATAGGTCCCCGAAGTAATGCTATCCTAACTATATAACCTACTTATAACCTTACGTACGAAGTCCCATGAGCCTTTAAAGTTGGGGCTTATTACAATGGAAAACAGAAGACGATTCCGAAAGTGCGTAGGGATTCGGTTTGAGGCTGGAGGGAGTACGGGCGGAGTTTCACGGACTGAGGCTAAAGTTGTGCTCAACTGCCTTGGCTAAATAGTGTAGATCATTGGGGTACATTATAGTATATGGCTAGTAACCTACACCCTACACCCGAATTAAACCCGAAAGCTTATTCCCCTAAACTCCTTGGCTGGGTGCCTGGGGTAGGATTGAGGGTTTGGGGCTTTACGGGGTAGGTGTTCAAGGGCAAAACTTGGCATCGAAGTGTCTAAAGCTTGGGGCTTTTGGTGTTAGATGGGTAGTTGTCGAAATTAGGGTCCCTGCTTGGGTACCCTAAAATATTAGGGGCCGTAACCCAGATGTAGGTATTCGCAATTGCGATGTTGGTTCGATGCACTTCTGCTTGCATGCTTGGAGGTTCGTGGGACTTAAATCGTAAGGCAGTTATAACTACTTCAGGTGGGTATACAAGTTATGGTGAGTATAGTTACCATATTGAAGTTAAACGAATCACGTGCACATGGCTTTGAGGTCAACCTTCCGCTATATCACGATAGTTACACACTTTAAAGAGCCTACCTAGTTTATAATCCTCATCACTAGGTGTCATGACCCCTTAATATTAAGTGCCCTTGCCGAACTTTTGAGTCCAAATTCGTCTCCAGGGTTCGTAATCCCCTGAAGGAGAACAGCCCCATCGTGACATTTTTGCCGGGACTTGTCACGAGTTGCAGTGCTGGCTTCAACTACCTCCCTCACATCCTTCCCAAAAAGCTCGTTTGTGAGATCTGTTCCCTGGGTCCGTGTCCTGGCCTTTCGGAGGCACTCTTCGATTTGGCGCCTGCGTCATTCATTCGCTGGTATTTTGGGATTTCGAGACCCTAAACCCTAAACCCTATACCCTAAACCCTAATTAAACCCTAAACTCTAAACCCTAAACCCTAAACCCTAAACTCTCAAGAAAGTGATAAATAGAAATTGCTTGTCCTTATTTGTAACCACCGCTAAGGCCCAGCATTTCGGTTAAAACTGGCGCTAGCTTCTTGGTAATCCAATTTCGCACAACCACAACCTCAACCATTAACTCAGCCCAGCCAACTCAAAACAGCCACCCGATCAAAAACGGAACAAGCTTCTTGATAAACCAATTTCGCACAACCACGACCTCAACTTCTAACTCAGCCCAGCCAGCCAAGCCAAACCGGTCCAGCCCAGCCCAGCCCAGCCGGCCCAACACACCGATTAAAAATTGAGTAAGCCTCTTGATGACCAATTTCTCCATAAACTTGTAACCACCATTACGGTCCAACACGCCGCTTAAAATTGAACAAGCTTCTTGATAAACCAATTTCTCCATAACCTCCAACCCAGGCCCACCTTCCCAGACCCCAAATCCAGGCCCCAAGGCCCAGACGCCAAATCCAAGCACCAAAAAAGGCCCAAAACCAGCCCCAAATCCAGGCCCCAAATCCCAAATCCAAATCCCAGACCCAAATCCAGGCCCAATCCCAAATCAAGGCACACCTAGATCCAGGCCCCAGACCCCTACCAAATCCAGGCCCCAGGCCCCAAATCCAGGCTACCCCAAATCCAGGCCCAGACCCCAAACCAAGTCCAGTCCCAAATCCAGGCCCAGTCCCAAATCAAGGCCCCAGGCCCCAAATCCAGGCTCAAGACCCCAAATCCAGGTCCAATTTCCAGGCACCACATCCAGGCCCAGTCCCAAATCCATCAGGCCCCAAATCCAGGCTCCAGGCCCAAATCCAGGCTCCAGACCCCAGGCCCAGTCCAGGCTCCAGACCCCAAATCCAGGCCCAGTCCCAAATCCAAGCCCCCAACTCCAGTAATCCAGGCCCAGTCCCAAATCAAGGCCCCAGGCCCCAAATCCAGACCCCAGGCCCCAAATCTAGGCTCCACCCCAAAGACCCAATCCCAAATCCAGGAACCCCTTCCCAGGCCCCAAACCCCAAATCCAGGCCCAATCCCAAATCCCAGGCCCCAAATCCAGGCCCAAATCCAGGCCCCAAATCCAGGCCCCAAATTCAGGCCCCAGGCCCCAAATCCAGGCTCCAGGCCAAATCCCAGACCCCAAATCCAGGCCCAGTCCCAAATCCAGGATCCAGCCAAAGTTTCGTTCAAAACGTTTCGCAGCCCCCAACAAATTTGGAAACATGGTTCGCAAAAAAAACGTTTCGTTCAAAACGTTTCGTTCAAAACGTTTCGTTCAAAAAGTTTTTGGGACCCAAACCCTTAACAATTTCTATAGCCCCAACCCCAGCCCCAGCCCCAGGACGGTCAAGACGTCTCGCTCCAAAAATTCGCTCAAAACGTTTCGCAGCCCCCCAAGAAAATTGAAAACAGGGTTCGCAAAACAATCAACACATTCCGGTCAAAACGTTTCGTACAATATGTTTCGGTCTGCAACATGCACATTCTTGAGAGTGAGGGTTCAGGGTTTAAGGTTTAGGGCTCTCTTCTATCGTTCTCACCTCCCCCCATACCATTCCCCAAAAGGGTTCCAAAGTTTCGACCAAAACGTTTCGCAACCCCCCAAGTAAATTGAAAACATGGTTCGCAAAACAAAACTTTCGCTCAAAACGTTTCACCCAAAACGTTTCACCCAAAACTTATTGGCACCCAAACCCTTAACAATTTCTATAAACCCTAAACCCTAAACCCCAAACCCTAAACCCTAAAGTTAGCCTCTTCCGCCCTTTTCCCGTCTCCGCATCGTTGGGCTCCTGACCTTCTCTAGGATACCCAGTAACCTAAGAATAAAAAAGGCCTCTCTTTTGGTATTGGGTAACTTTATAAGGAACCTAGGACTACAAAAAGGGAATAAGGGTACTACTGGGCATCCTAGTTCTCTAATCTGTGACACCTCGAGACTAATTAATCCCTGCAGCGGAAGCCTACATCCCAAAAGCCCACTTAAAGGATCATGGGACTTAGTAAGTAGGTTATAGCTGGGGTTATAAGTCCCCCAAGTGGGGTTACCCTAATTGTAACCTACTTATAACCTTACTTACTAAGTCCCATGATCCTTTAAGCAACGACACACTTCTCCTGCTTTGACGCCATGCTCAGCTTCTCCCCACCCCCCCCCGCCCCCCGCCCTCGCATACAAGGCTTTGTCTTAAGCCACAAGCCCTAAACCGACCCTGAAATCCCGAAACTCGAACCCAATGGCCTGATCGACTACTACAGGGGCCTTAATAATCAGAATAAGATTTTAAGGGCCCATTATGTACTATCTTTAAAAAAGAACCACCAAAATCGTTTTGGAAATTATTTAGGCCCTTATACTGGGTCGCGCACTTGAGGCAATTAGCCACAGCATCGTGAGGCTGCTGCACGTTCGAAGCGCAACCTTCAAAAAGCTAGGCTCTCCGGTAAACTTAGCTTGGGGCCCGAATACATGAAGTAGGCTTTTGGTATGTCTTTTCGTTTATAACTGTTATTGAACCCTAAGGAACAATGCTAGCATTTGTTTAGGCCTCTGTACTAAACGAGAACCCGTAAGGTCTTTTGGCTTGCATGCTGGGTTGAGGGCTTCTGGCTGCTCCCTAGACCCCAAAACCTTAAACCCTCAGCCCTCAACCCTAAACCCTCAACCCTAGAATTTTCATCCCTAAACCCTCAACCCTAGAATTTTCATCCCTAAACCCTAGCCCCGCCTGGAGGGAGTCAGACGGGGAGTTACTTTGTAGCAATGCACCACCTTCTGACTGACTCTCCTAAGTCTGAAGCCTCAGCCTCAACACGGAAAAATAAAAGCCTTAATGATTACCTTTTAACATTTTGGGGTTCCTACTTATAATATAAGTATAGCATGATATCCCCCCAAAACCTATTCCAAATATTAAGGCCCCGAAAGTCACATAGGAGGCTTGGGGCTTGAGTTGGTCGGCCTGATGCTTGAAGGACCATGTGACGTAGCAGCTTACAGGCTTCCTTAAACAGCTCCATCAAGGGTTCCATGAGCGTGATCTCCGGGTCTACTTAAAAGATCATGGGACTTGGTAGCTAGACAAAGGCTTCAATAAAAGGCTCTATAGATTCTCTAAGGGTTCCATGAGGGTGGTCTCCGGGTCTACTCAAAAGATGGGACTTGGTAACTAGAAAAAGGCTACACTAAAAGGTTCTAAACGGGTTCTATGAGGGGGGTTGTTGGGTCTACCTGCCTTGTCATGGGCCTTAGACACTAAGGTCTTGATTCAATAACCACTACAATAATCATTTAAGGTACCCGCAACTTTACTTACTGCGTCCTATGACTCCGTGACTACAAGTTGAGGGTGTAATGAGTAGTGCTCAGGGGGTGGCAGGGGCGTATGCAGTTGGCAGTTTACATGCGACGACGGTGATGATACTTGGAGGATCATGGGACTTAGTAAGTAAGGCTATAAGTACGTTAATTGGGGTTATAAGTAATTATAAGTATACTTGGAGGGGCAGGTGACTTAGTAAGTCGTTTATAAGTAGGGTTATACCCGAATAGGGTAGTTATAACTCTACTTACAACCTACTTACTAAGTCCATTGCCCCTGCAAGTAGTTACCTTACTTCTAACCCCAGTTACTAAGTGCCCTGCCTCTGCAACTACTGCAGCAACCAAGCGAGTCTCGTGCTAAGGTCGCCTCCAGGTCTCTCGGGGGTTGCGGGACTGGTCCTGATCGCCATGCCCCTGGTATAGCTGCGGTATCCTTAGGGTCCCTTTAAGGGTCCCTTTAAGGGGACCTATAGGGATTCTATAAGGGTATAGGGTTTAGGGCCTACTTGGAGGTTCATTCGTAGTTATACATGGGGTTATAATTAGGGTAACCAGAATTATAACCCATATAAGGGGACTTATAACCCCACTTATAACTAATTACCCATGAACCTCCAAGTATATGCTCAATGAGTTCAGCTGGCACACCGTCTGGAGCTAAGTATATCCCATTCGTCGTCAGAAGGGAAGCGGACTCGAGCTTGAGCGGCGTGCGGCTTGAGCTCGCACGAACACAGCGGTCTCCAAATCAGCTCTCCATCGCCCGTGGCGGGAGAGGCAAGCTAACAAGTGTACTCAAAGGCTCATGGGACTTAGTAAGTAAGGGTATAAGTAGGGTTATAATTAGGATAGCCCCACTTATGGGACATATAACCCCAATTATAACCTACTTACTAAGTCCCATGAGCCTTTAAGTATAGCTCGCCTCGCAGCATTCACGTCTCGGATAAACACTCTTGGAGTGCGAGGACCAATTCTTGGCTGACTTCTGAACCCCTCCTAAAAGCTAAACTTTTAGCCGCCTTATTATAGTTCATATAGAAACCCTAAAAACTTAAAGTCGTAAGAGCCGACCAGACGAACGCCAAGAATTTCCATGAAAACCATAAGGATCTCGGAGCGCTTCCGCACATCATTGCACGTTGTATTGCGCAGGGGTTCGTGGTGCCAAAAGGTTTAAGGTTTACTTGGAGGGGCAGTAGACTTAGTAAGTAGGTTGTACGTAGAGTTATAACTACCCTACATGGAGTTACCCCAAATACAACCCTACTTATAAACGACTTACTAAGTCACCTGCCTAGGGTTTTGGGAGTTAGGGTTTAGGATTACTATACTGGACTTAGAACCCTAGCAGAAATGATAATTTTAGCTGTTTCTTATGGGGTTATAATAACCAAAAACTAACAATTATTTCTCTCAGTATCCCTAAGATTAGGTCGGCCCGAATTTGGGCCAATGATCTCCTTGCACTTACCCGAGAGATCTACTGGGCTCAATCCCCATCGGGGCACATTTGGGTGGTTGTCAAATTCATGGTCCCTTTTTGGGTCCCTGATATAGTACGGCACCTAATATTTAGGGTACCCAAAAAGGGACCCTAATTTCGACAACCACATACTTGTACAAAGTCTTACCCCTCATTGTTCAAACTAAACAGCCCTGCAACAACCAAAACAATAAACAAAAACAACATCCATGCCTTTTTCAGGGCTTATCAGTTTAATCCAAAGAATCTAGAACACTAAGGAGTGCAGCGGGTAGGTTTTCATAAGTTCAAGTAAACCCTGCAACCCCAACCTACACCCGAGGCTTGCTGTTTCACGGCGCGCCTGGTACGCCCATTATCACGATGGGCTTCTTCCCACTCCCGTCGGGCGCCTGTCTGGAATCTTGGAATTTGTAACATTGGCGCGATGAGATAACAGAACAATGCTGCACAACTATTGAATGAAGCTGCTTTGAAAGGTAGCATAAGACTTTATGGCAATTCCCCACAGGGCCCGTACTGATGAGGATGGCTTTCGGATATCTTTTAACTGCGTACTCTATAAGGGGCCACCATTCTGGGCATGCTTTACATCGTTTCTGGGATCCCCGGCAAAGGAGCAGGAAGGGCCCCCTTGTTGCTATTGGGTAGTTTGATAAGGACCCTAACAGTACACACAGAGAAAAGGGCCACCTTTGCGACCTGGTTATTGAAGTTGTCAAAGACCCTGGCTCTACCCCTAAGGGTCCATGTACCCAAATAGTATGTACTTTGGCCCCAATATATCTTTATAGGAACAACTGCAAGGCCGAAATATATCTTCTGTTTGGGACTTTCGGAAAATTGGGGTACCTTATTTTGGGGTCCTTTTAGTAAGGACCCTACTATTTAGGGCACTGTAGCACTGTAGTTCGGGTCCCCTATTTTTGGAAACTCCCATTTGGTATACTCTTCGAGGATGCCCAATAACCTAGGAGTAAAAAGGGCTCCCTTTTTGGTATTGGGTAACTTTATAAGGAGCCTAGGACTACCCCCTTGGGGAATAAGGGTACTATACTGGGCATCCTAGAATCCACCTCCTCAGGTCGTCCTAAACCCTAAACCCCTAAACCCTAACCCCAAGAATCCAAAAAATCCAATAATCAAGGTCGCCTGGTTTTGGAAACTCCCATTTGGGTACATGGACCCTTGGAACCCAAAGACTCCAATATCCCTTAATTAAGGAATATTCCTTAAATCATAGTAGGATCCCTAATATGATTTAAGGAATATTCCTTAACTAAGGGATATTAGAGTCCCCTAAACCTAAACCCTATAGATCCCTTACAGATCCCTTAAAGGACCCTAGGAATATTCCTTAATTAAGGGATATCGGAGTCTCTGGGAAGGTCCGATCCGAACAGCTCCAGAATGAGAGCCCCGAGCCGCCAACCTTCCGCAGGATCTAAGCTTTTAGGGTTTAGGGTTTAGGGGTTTAGGGTTTAGGGGTTTAGGGGTTTAGGGTTTAGGGTTTGCTGCAAGATTGCGTAGCGGTAGTGCAACAGGGATTGTAGGATTTATTAGCGGTTTTGTTGCCTGCGAATCGCAGACATGGCCCGACTGTGGCGGGCCATCACCTAATAACTCACCCACCCCACGCCGTCTGAGGCGGCAAACCACCCAAACCTATACCTTTTAGGGTTTAGGACCTAAACTCTGTTAGGTCCATGTTGGTTAACAACAACCACACATTTCTGCAGCCAAGCTTCTGCTCCGAAAAAGCAGGGCAGAGGAGGGCAGAGTACGGCAAGAGGTGGGCCAGGGGAGGCCAGGAGGCCAGGAAGGAGGTCAGAACACAGGGCGCAGGGGGGGCCAGGGGGGGCCAGCGGGGGCCAGGGCGGGTGAGGGGGAACACCCAAACTCGAAGAATACTTCCTGAAACCAGTCCTGCCTTCTTCATGGCCCTGCGCTCAGCTCGAGTCCACCAAAGACTCGTATGCATTTGCTTGGGAACTTTGTCGATGAAGACGGTCCTCACGCCCTGACACAGATGAAATGCTTATCCAAGTCCGGGTCGCATGGTCAGTGAGTGGCCTGCTTCCAGGTGATGCGGCGAGCTTTGTATTTGGAGATCTGTCAGTGCAAATTTCGCTTTCCAAGCCAACTACCCGATCACGCTCCGTGCCTCCTCTCGAAACTCCGGCAAGTCCCTCTCCTCGTTCATATGAAGCATGGACCACTCAGGCAGGAGCCGCATCCGCCAGCCGCTTCACCGTCAGGCCAGCTTTATATTTGGAGATCTGTCACTGCAATTTTCGCTTTCCACGCCAACTACGCGATCCCGTTCCGTGCCTCGTCGCGAAACTCCGGGAACTCCTTCTCCTCGTTCATGTGAAGCATGGTTACAACTCGAGCATCCTACACCCGACCACTCAGGCTGGAGCCGCATCCGCCAGCCGCCGGACAACCAACACCATGGCAAAGGAGCGTCGGGACGGGGACCACAAAAGCAAAACGAGGTCTCAGGCGCAGCCAAACTACAAGGCAAGGAAATCCCCAAATCACAAGACCCCGAACCCCAAACTGAAAAGTCATAAAATCACAAAGCCCTAACCGCAAACCCGAGGGCAGACGACCAAGTTCCCGACAAGCGAAGAGGTCGCGGGTGCCCGACGCTCCTCTGCAGAACGTCGGCCTGGGCAAAAGTCAAAGTCACAAGCAGAGTTCCAGAATACAAAACAGGAGAAACAGAAAGCAGTACCAGTGGTACTAAAAGTAGCAGTAGTACTGGTAGTGGTGGTACTGGCAGGGAAATCCCAAAAATCACAAAAACCCCGAACCCAAGACTAGAAAGTCACAAAATCACAAAGCCCCTAACCGCAAACCCGAAGGCAGACGACCAAGGTTTGCGAGCCTGAGCAGCGACACGAGGAAAAGTAGAATTGAACTTTAGCAGGCGCCAGGGCTGCGACACGCTCACCGCGTCGATATTTTCGCCAGTATGCCCTTCCTGCGGCAGGGCTGCGATGCAAGCTCAACAGACTTCTTGCTTCCTGTGCAGGCTACCCTGGCCTTCGGTCGGCGCCATGTTTGACCCGAAGGAGGTACAAAAAACCCGTCAGAATTCAGTGGTAAGAGCCGAATGTGACTGTGCAGGAGAAGTCGATTGTCATGCTCCACGTTTCGGGCACGAACTCGTCAAATGATGGTGTACCAAAGAATCCTTCGTTCGGCAACTTGGGATCTTTGCGGGTTGAGCTAACCGCTAACTGTATTTAGAAGCACATGGCGGAGAGGACGGAAGCTGGTCAGAAAGGCACAAGACAGAAACTTACCAAACACTCAAGATAGCTGCGCTGTCTTCCACACAAAGAGTTTCGGCAAGCGGTCGAGAGTACTAGAATTACTAGAAGCAAAATGCTACTGAGCAAGAACGAGTCGATCGACCAGGCACTGATTTTGGATTCAACTATGCGTCGCTGGTTGATACCAGAGCGAAAGTTTAGCAAGCTTTGAATTCAACTATGCTTCGCTGGTTGATACCACCACCGCCACCACCATCACAACACCACGACTTAAGCATGTATCTAACACTAAAGAAGATCACGTGTGTCCTGTCTCAGATCGCACCAGCGCTGAACCAACCACGAGCACCATCAACGCCACCACCAAAGACAATCACTCGCACCACCAGCACCACTGCCACCACCACCACCCGCGCCACCACCACCACCACCGCCACCACCACCACCACCACCACCACCACCACCACCACCACCACCACCACCACCACTAGTACCGCTACCTAGAAAGGCGAAACACCGTTTTTTAACCCCGTGCACACCACCGCACATGTACCAGGCCGCCCCGCCAGAGACCGTATACGTGAGTCGTAAAAAAAAAAACCAAACTTGCGTCTGAGCCTACAGAAGAAAGTATTTGACACCAGCTTCCTCACGTATACGGTCGCTTGTTTCGGCCAACGCGGGCAGGTAAACGAGGGTTCGAGTATTACGAAGCAAACCGAGCCTGAAACCGAACAAGAAACAACAACCGTAATCACAAGCAATGGCAACTATCAATTCCCGAACCCCCGGAGGGGGGGCCAACACCAAATGGCTTGGTCCCCCGGTACCGGGCCCATCGTGGGTGCTACAGAACCCCTGGCTGTGGGACGGCGGGCGAGCGTCCTGGATCGACTTGCGCCATCGATGTCGAAGGGCATAAGCGCCGCCCACCATCGAAGGTGGGCGGCCTAAGCCCTGAGTTTAGGGGTTTAGGGTTTAGGGTTTTAGGGTTTAGGGTTTAGGGGTTTAGGGGTTTAGGGTTTAGGGTTTAGGGGTTTAGGGGTTTTGGGGGTTAGGGGGGTTAGGGGTTTAGGGTTTAGGGTTTAGGGTTTAGGGTTTAGGGTTAGGGGTTTAGGGGGTTTAGGGTTTAGGGTTTTTAGGGGTTTAGGGTTTAGGGTTTTTTTGGGTTTAGGGTTTAGGGTTTAGGGGTTTAGGGGTTTAGGGGTTTAGGGTTTAGGGGTTTAGGGGGTTAGGGTTTAGGGGTTTAGGGTTTAGGGTTTAGGGGTTTAGGGGTTTAGGGTTTAGGGGTTTAGGGTTTAGGGTTTAGGGGTTTAGGGTTTAGGGTTTAGGGTTTAGGGTTTAGGGGTTTGGGTTTAGGGTTTAGGGGTTAGGGTCTAGGGTTTAGGGTTTAGGGTCCATGTACCCTTATAGTAGATACTTAAGCCTGGGCAGGGTCTCTGAATGCGGTTCCTACATTGTGGGACTGATGATCCCGGATTTGGAGTCTACCCGGTACAGGGAACTCCAGAAAGTTGGAATATGGTTTCATGGTAGGATACCCTATAATTTACCATAGAAGGGTTAGGATAATCATATTCCAACTTTCTGGCTTTTAGGGTTTAAGGGCTTAGGATTTAAGGGTTTATGGGCTCCTTTCCGACGGGTTTAGAGTTTAGGGGTTTAGGAAGCTTTTAGGGTTTAAGGGCTTGGGATTTAGGGTTTAGGGGTTTAGGGTTTTATCTTTTTATTTTTTCTGGGCTCCTTTCCGACGGGTTAGGGTTTAGGGGTTGGGGTTTAGGGTTTGATAAGTTTGAGGGTAATAGGGCAAGGGGGGTAAGGGTTTGAGGTTTGAGGCTTAGGGTTTGAGTCGGGTTTCGGGTTTAGTAGGTTAAGGGTTTGAGGTTTAGGGTTTAGGCTTTCCTGGATGAGGCTTAACTGCAACTAAGGGTCCATGCAACCACCTAGCATTTACTCTGAAGTACTTAGATGGGAATCTGTGTTTTTAGGGACTGGCTCTTCCTCTTAATGACTCCTAAACCCTAAACCCCTAGTAGAGCCCTAAACAAATGAGATCGGAATGGGCTTTAAGTTTGAGGGGTATAGTTTACCCGGACTTACACGAACTGTAGAGTATATTACAGCAGAATTTGACCACGTTCCGTTCTTCCAAGCTCTGAAGACGTGATGTAGGGGCCGTACCCATAGGCCCCATGGTAGCTCCTTTTTGGGATTACCTTGTAGGACTCTAAATATAACCCCAAAAAGGAACTACTTTTGGGCTCCCTATGGGACATCCATGCCTCCCAACCGTAAACCTGTGCGTTGTCGCGGATGGCTTTGGCCGCGAGAGAGAAGCCTCACAAGCCAGCTGAAAAATGAAGCGGATCACGGTTTAAGTAGTTCTCTCAATGAATTTGGCAGCGTATGCATGTACTCTTAGTCTTAAGCAGGTCGATATGCGCATGCATATGTGCATCTGCGCATGTGTATGTATACAAGCACGCGAACACACAGACACACAGACACACACACACACACACAAACACACACAAACACACAAACACACAAACACACACACAAAACACACAAACACACAAACACAGACACACAGACACACACACACAGTTGTATGACAATTTGTCGAATCTTCTCTACCCACTCTCAATCAGTTTAGCAACAGCTACAAGGGATCCGAACAAAACTAAGCAGACCCCCATAATGTAGGGGCCTAACTAGAATAGGGTTTCGGGGCCCATCATACTCTAATCCTAACAAGGAACCCCCCAAAATACTGTAGGCAATTATTAAGATCCCCATACCCTGGCCCTTCGAACGGAAGGCACACTGCTCGATCTGCAGGCTCCAAGAATCTTGTGGAGGATGGTTTAGGGTTTAGGATTTAGGGTGCTGGGGCTTTAGAGTTCAGAGTTAAGGATTTAGGGTTTAGGATTTAGGATTTAGGGTTTAGGGTTTAGGGTTTAGGACTTGGGGTGTTAGGGCTTTATAGAGTTTAGGATCGAATCTAGGGTGTAGGGCCTGACGACTTCGGGGGCCCTTAGGGGCTGAATTTAAGGTTTAGATGGGAGTACAGTAGGGTTCCTTAAAGGGCTCCTTTAAAGTATAAACTTTAGGGTTCCTTAAAGGGCTCCTTTAACAGGATCTATAATAGGGGACCTATAATAGGGTTCTATATATTGTAGGGGCCTTACAGTAAACTCCATAAAGTTGGAAACCGGGTTAAGGCCAAATAGTGCTTGGATTCCCTATACATTACTCTTAAGGATTGAGGCTATTGGGTTTCCAACTTTTTGGCTTCTACTGTAGGTTGAGGGGTCCTGAGCTCCGTCCGCTCGCGATGTATCTGACCATCACATCTTCCCTCAAGGGAACTCCAGAAAGTTGGAATATGGTTTCAGGGTAGGATACCTTATAATTTACCATAAAGGGTTTAGGATAATCATGTTCCAACTTTCTGGCTACTACTTCATGCTGGTGGTATGTGTTGTGGGCCCCGGATGTTGCTGCACCAGCCGATCGCCGCAATAGAACGAGACCGTCGCCCGTGCGTCATTCCAGGATTCCACACTAGCCCTAAGCTCCAAACCCTAAGCCCGAGAACCTATCGAAGCTCGAAGTGGGAGATTCCGAAATTAGGGGTACCTTATTTTAGGGTTCTTATAAGAAGGACCCTAGTATTTAGGGTACTATATCAGGGTCCCCTATTTTCGGAAACTCCCAAGTAGGCACCGCGCGTGTGACCAGGGAATCGTAGTCCCCGAGCTGCTCATACCTTCAGAGGGGAGCGGCAGGAAGAGTAACGGGCTTGCCTCGAACTACCAAAACCTAATATTTTATAGGGTCCCTAGAATTTGCCATGATTTATTAAGGAATAGAATAAGAACCTACGAGAAAGTAGGTTATGGTAGTTTATAAGGTGGGGTTTAAGGTTTCGTATCTCGGAAACAGCAGTAGTGAAGGGGCCTGGATAGTTTCAAGAAGGTTTTGCGGTCATATAGTGGGGGCTAAGGGGCGTGCGGTTTTTGGGATGTATGCAACAGCATGCTAGCCTTTTTTGCGTCTTGGGTTTGCTCATGCTTGGCGGAATTCACTCTCGTTCGTTGCCAAATCCGCCCAATGGCGACGGAGCGCCCAGATCTCAGCAAGGCGATCCTTGCGTATGCGTTTGATCTTGCTGAACTCCTCCAGCATCAAACCTCGCGAGCACGGCAACGATGAAGGGATAAGAATCCGAATGGTCATCTGGGCTGCGCAACTGAAACTCGCGACTGCGCTCTTCCGCTTCTACGAAACCCTAAACCCTAAACCCCCAGCCGCTCTTTCACAGAGCCGGCTCGGTCCCGGAACTCCGGAAGCTGAGAAACACGCTGTTGCTGGGACAAACCCTCCCACCAGCGTCGCCGGACGGCGACCTCGTAGTTGTCGATCCAAATGATCGTCTTGTCCTGACGAGCATGCAACCCTAAACCACAAAACCCCAAACCACAAAGTCCTAAACCCTAAACCCCTACAGCCTAAACCCTTAAACCCCAAAACCCTAAATCGTAAACCACCAAACCCTAAACCCTAGCTATGCAACTTACTCGGCCTCATGCGAAGCTGGGAAGGGGCCCCCCACCCAAATGGCAATTTGTAGTATCCTTATGGGAGGGGCTCCAAGGGGGGTAGGTAACCTACTAATCCCTAATTCTCTCTAGTGCTCCCGAAGGTTCCCTGAAAGTTTCCTAAGGATCACTGGTACCCTCCACCATTGAACCATCCTCCCTTAAGGACCCTGTAAGCAATGTGCCCCAACTTCTGTTAATGTAGGAACCTGATTAAGAAACCTTGGTCCTACAACCCCAAAATATTTGGATCCATACGAAGAGCCCTAATAAAGATCCAAGGCTTAACTTAATCAGGTTCCTACATTAACACCCCCCCCAAAAAAAACCCTATAACACCCTTATAGTACCCTTTAAAGGGACCCTTATATGGAACCCTAACAAAGACCCCAGGTTTCTTAATCAGGTTCCTAGATCAAAATCCCATTTCAGCGGCCTGGGGGCCATGGTTCATGTCCAGCTCGTCTTGTTTGCTCAATACTTAAAGGATCATGGGACTTAGTAAGTAGGTTATAATTGGGGTTATAAGTTGGGGTTATCCTAATTATAACCTACTTATAACCTTACTTACTAAGTCCCTTGAGCCTTTAAGTACCGATTCTTGCTGCTCCCGACGGCCCCCCGAAGCGTCCATGTACCCAAATACGGTTGATGATGATATAAGTCATGCATTACCCATAGTAAGGATTATACCAGAATTCCCGTAGTTTAGGGTCCTTAAGGTAATGCAGGATTCATATCTTCAACCGTAGTATATACCTTGGCCTTAAAGTAGTCCCTATATAGATACATTGAGGCCGAAGTACATACTATTTGGGTACATGGACCCTCAGGGTGTGGGAAGTTTACCAAGGCGTGAATACCACCCGCCGACGCATGTCATCCGTAGACACTATTTTAGGGCTGAGGATGTAAATACACACCTTTAAACAACCTGATGGGCGTGTGACCCGGCAATACAGGCAGCGATGAATAATCCATAAACGCACTTGAGCCACTTGTTTACTGTACAGAAACACATTATACCTGATCCAATCTGAGGGCAGTGTACCAAGCAGACGGTTCGTGACATGTGAGAAGCCTGCTTTTGGATGTATAGTCCAGGGTTTCTACACGGCCTACATTATGACTTGTTCGGGTCTTTTGTTGAAGCTTCAAACCCCAAAGGTTCCTAGGTGCTGTTATGGGGGATACTTCCCCAAATCAGAAATTCCTAACATAGAAACCCTACAACCTATTATAAGGGTACTTTGGACTTTTTGGGAACTAAACCCACTACCATAAAGCCTGATTCAAGCCTGAAGGCTGAGGGCTTTGAGTATTTGGACGGCTTAGGGTTCAGGATTTAGGGTTTAGGGTTTTAAGGATTTAAGGTTATTAGGATTTAGGATTTAGGGTTTTAGGATTTAGGGGTTTAGGGTTTAGGGATTTAGGGCTTTTAGGGTTTAGGGGTTTAGGGTTTTAGGGTTTTAGGGATTTAGGGTTTTTAGGGCTTAGGGTTTCAGGGAAAAGTGTTTAGGGTTTACGGTCTAGGGTTTAGGGCTTTGAGCATTTGGTCGGGAAGTCGCTCACCGAAACGTTCACTTGGAACAAGCCAACACATCTCGAGCCTCATCGAAAAGCTGTCCAGGCCTCCTGCCCTGTGCTAAACCCTGAAGCGTAGAGCCGTAAATCTCTTTCAGCCCGAAGCCCCCAATACGGTTGATGATAAACAACCCTGCATCACCCGTAATAGGGAACATACCATAACTCCCATAGTTTAAGGTCCTTAAGGCAATGCAGGGTTTATATTATCATAACCCTAAACCCTGCAACCCTGTAGATCCCTTAAAGGAGCCCCTTAAAGGTACCCTTATAGATCCCTTTAAAGGAACCCTGGGATTTATATCATCAACAGTAGCTCCTAAGCCCCCCTAACCCTGAGCCGCCATGTCAAGTAACTGGAAGGACACCACGACCCCAACTGCGAAATCGCCCGACACCCTACTTAAAGGCTCATGGGACTTAGTAAGTAATGTTATAAGTAGGTTACAATTAGGATAACCCCACTTAGGGGACGAAGAGCCCCACTTATAACCTACTTACTAAGTCCCATGATCCTTTAAGTAAACCCTACACCCTAAACCCCCTACTCGCAACACTTCCGAGACGCCAATCCATCGAAGGACGATTCTGATAGTGAACCTTTTCAGGCGCAGTTTCAAAAGATCTCGAAAGCTTCAGGGTTTAGTCTTTGAGGGATTGAGAGGCTCAGGATAAGGGTTGATGGTTCCGGGCTTAAGTTTCAGGGTTTAGAGGTTGAAGGATTGAGAGATCTACCATCCAGTCGAAACCGCTTCAGAAACCCAGCGTCCACTCTCAAATCAGAAAACCCTGAACCCTTTTCCCTTGGAGGGGCAGGGGTTATAATTGGGGTAACTCCATTTAAGATGCTTCTAACTCTACTTACAACCTACTTACTAAGTCCCTAAACCCTAAACCCCATAGATCCCTTTAAGGATTCCCATAGATCCTTTTAAGGAGCCCTTGAAGAACCCTAACCCCCGCAACCCTAAACCTGAAGACCTGACCTCGATCCTCAACCCCACTGCCTTCAACCAGACCGCAACGTCCTGGGTTTAGGGGTTTAGGGGTTTAGGATTTAGGGTTTAGGGTTTAAGGGTTTAGGGGTTTAGGGTTTAGGGTTTAGGGTTCAGCTGCTCCGGATCGAGCAGTTTTAAGTAGAGTTGTATTTAAGGTTTAGAAATAACACCCACCCACCCTTAGAATCCCATAACATAAGCCATATAAAGTCCTTAAACACCCAAAATTGTAGCACTAAAACAACAAAACAACTTAAAAAAAAAAAAATCTGTAGGTGCGTTCTCTTTCTTTAAAAAAACTAGAGCACAAATAAATTATTGTTTAATACTTTTCGTTTTGTGTTGTCTCAAACCCTAATGTCTAAACATCATCATTCAGAGAGTTGTACCTACAACCTAGCCTGTCACACTTTAATGTCGCCTTCCCACACCACTCAGAAAATACAACAGTTCATATTGTTCCCACAGCTGATTTATTTATTTAAAGTTGTCGAGCTTAGATTCATTTTAGATTACACTTATGAATGGATTTGTTAACTTATTGTTTTGCTTATTGCGGCATTAGGAAAAAAAACCTCTTATAGAATTGTTTCGCTTATTGGGGCGTTCGGAATGGAAATCTCTTGCAGAATTGTTTCGCTTATTGGGGCGTTTGGAAGGCAAACCTCTTGTGGAATTGTTTCGCTTATTGGACCGTTCGGAATGTGTTCCGAAACGGGCTCACGTAGCATTGTCTCCGCCGGGAGGGCACGGAAGATTCCCATTTTGTTACGGATGTGTTGTGTTCCGAAACGGGCTCACGTAGCATTGTCTCCGCCGGGAGGGCACGCAAGATCCCCATTTTGTTGCGGATGTGTTGTGTTCCGAAACGGGCTCACGTAGCAATCTCTTGCAGAATTGTTTCGCTTATTGGGGCGTTTGGAAGGCAAACCTCTTGCAGAATTGTTTCGCTTATTGGGGCGTTCGGAATGGAAATCTCTTGCAGAGTTGTTTCGCTTAATGGGGCGTTAGAAAGCAATACCTCTTGCAGAATTGAAGCCCAAACCTTAGGCCCCAAAACCCTAAAGCCCAAACCCTAGGCCCTAAACCCTAAAGCCCAAACCCTAGGCCCTAAACCCTAAAGCCCAAACCCTAGGCCCTGAACCCTAAAGCCCAAACCCTAGGCCCTAAACCCTAAAGCCCAAACCCTAGGCCCTAAACCCTAGGGCCCTAGGCCCTAAACCCTAGGCAAACCCTAGGCCCTAAACCTTAAAGCCCAAACCCTAGGGTTTGGCCTTAAACGACGAGCCTTAAACGACGAAGGTTTGGCCTTAAACGACGAAGGTTTGGCCTTAAACGACGAAGGTTTGGCCTTAAACGACGAAGGTTTGGCCTTAAACGACGAAGGTTTGGCCTTAAACAAGAGCAGGCACACGAAAAGAACGGCCCTGTTTTGCTGCAGAATGTGGCCCGAACGAAGGTTTGGCCTTAAACGACGAGCCTTAAACGACGAAAGTCTGGCCTTAAACGACGAAAGTTTGGCCTTAAACGACGAAAGTTTGGCCTTAAACGACGAAAGTTTGGCCTTAAACGACGAAAGTTTGGCCTTAAACGACGAAAGTTTGGCCTTAAACGACGAAGGTTTGGCCTTAAACGACGAAAGTTTGGCCTTAAACGACGAAAGTTTGGCCTTAAACGACGAAGCTGGAGGCTCAGACCTTCGTCGTTTAAGGCCAAACCTTCGTCGTTTAAGGCCAAACTTTCGTCGTTTAAGGCCAAAAACCGGGTTTGGCCTTAAACGACGAAGGTTTGGCCTTAAACGACGAAGGTTTGGCCTTAAACGACGAAGGTTTGGCCTTAAACGACGAAGGTTTGGCCTTAAACGACGAAAGTTTGGCCTTAAACGACGAAGGTATTAGAGTTTAAATTATATAGAAAGAGAGGTTTAGGGGTTTAGGGTTTAGGGTTTAGGGGTTTAGGGTTTAGGGTTTAGGGTTTAGGGGTTTAGGGGTTTAGGGTTTAGGGTTTAGGGGTTTAGGGTTTAGGGGTTTAGGGTTTAGGGGTTTAGGGTTTAGGGGTTTAGGGTTTAGGGGTTTAGGGTTTAGGGTTTAGGGTTTGAACACCAATCCCGCCTAACCCTAAGGCTCAAAATGGCCCAAAGGCCTTACATAATAGGGTCTTTAGGCCCAAAAGCCTTACTATACGAGTCCTTAGAGCCCTAGGGTAAGGGTTCAAGCAGGCAAATGTGTAGCTGTCGAAATCATGGTTTTCCTGGGGGGAACCCTCTACAATTGAGTTCCAATTATTTTAGGGTTTAGGGGTTTAGGGTTTATACTCTCAGACGGCACCTCATAGCTTGGAACCCAAGAAGGACCCTGGTTTTGACAACCACCCAACTAGGAGGGTTTGGGGTGCCGCGAAGTAGTTGGAGTGAAGCCTTTTCGAACCTAAAGCCCCCACTGTTTCAGCCACTTGGAGCCTCTAGGTAAAGGTTTCTTTAAAGGTTACATAGTAAACTAGGTATCGACTTCAACAGTCCACAAAAATATTTCTAGTCAGGGATCTATATTAAACGGTAAGGGAGTGGACAATCATCGCAAATCGATGCTAAGTAAGGGTTCTATTGGGGTGAGGGTATAGGGCATGCGGCATGCGTAGTCAGACTATAAAGATTTGCTTATGTTGTTTGTGTATGCGTTTAAAGAGGTAGTGTAGAGTCCTATATGTGGTGTATGCAGCAGTATAACGGGGCCCAGCAAGCTGACAAAGCCAACACTCCTTGGGACATCCTCCCAACCTGAACAACCCTAACCCCCCCAAACCCAACCTGAACTTGTACACCAAAAGAACCCGGAAGATTACAGATTTGTGCGTTGTGTCTCTTAAGTTGGATTCAAGGAACTCAAGGTGTTAAGCTCTGAGATTTTAGACTGTAGCCCGAACACTTAAACTCACACGAATCCTCAACCCTTATTCTCGGGCCTAGAAGAGCCATGCCCTAAAACTTATACACCAAAGCCGAAAGACCCTGTGCCTGTTGGTATTTCACCCTCTGCTCCGGTAGCGCCATGAGGATCACGGTGAGCCGAACGGGGGCCTTTCTCTCACTGAAAGCTCGCTACGCAGTGGCTTGACACATGGGTGGTTGTCAAAACTGGGGTCCCCTTTTTGGGTACCCCAAATAATAGGTGCCGTATTATATTAAGGACCCCAATAAGGACCCTAATTTTGACAACCACCCACATGGACTCATTGCAAAGCCTCAGAAACAACGAGACCCAAATCCAAACCCGCTCCGAATCGGACAAAGATAACAAAAACCAATGAACCCTGGAACACCCCCAATGTACCCCATAATCCTGTGTGACCTGTAAACAGGGGCACTTGGCCAACCCTAAACCCTAAACCGTCGAACCACCGTCAACCCTAAACCCTAAACCCTAAACCGTCGAACCACCGTCAACCCTAAACCCTAAACCCTAAAACCACCGTCAACCCTAAACCCTGAACCCCTAAACCGTCGAACCACCGTCTGCCCCGCCTCCAGGAAAGGAAATCCCTGGCTTTCACAGCCACGGAAGAGAGAAACCTCTCGACGAGGAAGATTTAGGTTGCGTTCGTGGGTATGTTGGGTTCCACAAGCGTGCTGTAAGGGTTCTAGGAAAGCTTGAACATTGGGATTCAACATAGGGCTTCTAGTAAGAGTCTACTGGGTGCTTTAGGGCTTTCTGGGTTCTTTCGGGCTGGCTTGCATACTCAGTTTCAGGCTTCAGGGCTTGTGAGGCTCAGGTTTTAAGGGAAAAAGGCGCGCTGGCGAGGTTTCGGATGGGCGGCCCAGGTTTTTGTGTCGAAAAGCCGAACCAAGACGACCACCGCGGGGCGACAGGCATCCCGCTGGTCATCGTAATATCCACGCAATCTACATGATCAAAACCCTACGTTATAGGGGCCGTAGTACTTAGAATAGGGCTTTGGGGTATATCATACTGCAAGTAAGTATTCATAACCCCAGATACAGTAATGTTTTAGGGCCTTACATTAGTTAACTCGGGCTGCTCTTGACAGTAAGACATCACCATGTGTGTTACCTTGCGTCAAACGCTCTGCAGCAGCTCAGGAATACGAAGAAACAACTGAAATGCAGATAAACAAACCATACTCACCTCTACCCCTGACGAAGGCTACCAAAAACCAACTGTTCGGAAATCACCAATCCCAAAACCTAAGACTTACCAAGAGAGAGAGAGAGAGAGAGATAGAGAGAGAGAGAGAGAGAGAGTACTATGGGAATTCCATTCAAGAAAAGTTTGAACTCTGACAGCGCTGTGCCGCTCGGGCCTCGTTGAAGCGTGCGATGAACGGCGTGCCCTGTCACTCCAAAATTGGAGGCTGGTGTTTCATTCCGTTCCGGTTTGCCCAAACCCTAAACGCCAAGGTTTCCCTCGATCCTCAAACCACATGGTACCCTCCATTATGCCCTAAATAGCCACTATAAAGAGGACCATGAGGTCTCTGTGAGGGGGCACTTAGGGGAGTCCTGGTCGCTTTTGAGTTTAGGGCCACAAAGACCACGATGTCGAGGGTATAGTATCGGGCTTACTGAAGCAGCATTGGTGTGGGATGCAGGGTTCGAGGTTTTAGACTGCAAGCAGCACTCGAGGGTTTTGGAGGATTCGGGACTGGCTCCCTAAACTGAGACTCCTCTAAGTACCTACTGGTGAGGCAAACTGGGGCCCGCAAACCCAAACCCTAAACCCCAACTCCCTAAATCCCTGAACCTAAACCCTAAACATCCCTAAACCCTAATACTCTAAACCCCAATACCCTAAACCCTACACCCTAAACTCTAAACCCTAAAAAGCGCAAGTTTTGCTGCTTGGGTCGCGGGATGTAAACACAAAAGGCTTCAGGTCTGGCAGTTTTCAAGATGCGGTGATTTTCCTTGAGAGGTCGCGAAACAGCGCTTGTAATACTCCCTAAACAACCGGCCCGGCGCGGGTTTAGGGTTTAGGGGTTTACTTAAAGGATCATGGGACTTAGTAAGTAGGTTATAATTGGGGTTATAAGTCCCCTAAGTGGGGTTACCCTACTTATAACCTACTTATAACCTTACTTACTAAGTCCCATGATCCTTCAAGTAGGGGTTTAGGGACACCGTGAACCCTAAAGTGTGGACTTCCACGCTCCGGAGATCGGGTGGCAGGGGCGTCGGGCTTAGGCCACGTGGCTTAAGTTGATCCAAAACCTCCTCTATTTCGCTTAGGGTTTAGGGGTTTAGGGGTTTAGGGTTTAGGGGGGTCGTAGCTACTACTTTGCAGGTTTGGGGTCATAGGAACCCTGAACCTTGCCTTGTCTTGAAGGTAGTCCCGCATGGTGCTGTTCGGCAGACCCGCATTCTGCGATCATTGTGTGTGTGTGGGGGGGGGTTTAGGGAGCTCCGAGGTGTCGAAACTGGGGGTGTTACAGTTTGGAGTCCGGGGTGCAGGGTATGGGAGCTTAGATTTTGGGTTGTTTCAGGGTTCCCTTGGGAAGCTTTTCAAGCGAAGACACCAATATAACGGGGCCCCAAACCCGAAACCTCTGAATCTCCGCTACAAATCGGAATCCGAGCTCCACACAACCCTGCGCTGCGAAAGAACAGTACGGTATAAACCTCAACCCCAATTCCAAAGCCCGAACCACATAAAGCCCAAAGCCTAAACTCAAAAGTAAAGCACCACCCCTAGATCCTACAGTCTCAACGCACAACCCCAAATGCGGAACCATAGCCCCAGTTTGCAATACCACAACCTACGTTTTTGTCGGGTCCCTGAAACTTCTATATTCGGGTTTAAACAAACCTCAACGACAGGTTAGGATAGTTTAAGGTGAAAGCCGAAACCGCCGCCCCCAAACCCCAGAATTTGCACTCAACTCGTATGCCACACCCAAACCCAAACTCCTAACCTTTTTGCCGTCTCAAAACCTCGACCCAACCCAAACCGTACTATAAATGCCGTATAGTGTAGTAACCCTTTACAGAACAACGCTTTAAAGGATTCGTGAACCCTAAACTCTAAAACCAAACCCTTTTTGAACGAAGCCATTCAACGACCCTCTGACTCCCCTGAAAGCAACAGCTCCTGGTTGTATTCGTGGCACCTGAAGGAGGGACGACCGAAATAAGGCATGGATTGAGGGTTTAGGGGGTTTAAGGTTTATAAGGGGTTTAGGGTCTAGAAACTAAGGGTTCCAAGGTTAAGTTTAGGAGTTTAGGGTTCTAGAGTTCAGGGTTGTGCCCAAAAATGAAAACAGTGTATATAGTGTATCTTCTTATAGTACGTGTGGGGTTTAGTGAAGTTTTGATAGGGTTGTTATGGGTTTAGAATGCAAGCCGCCTTTTTGTTCCGACAACTACATTCCTATACTACATAACTTTTCGAGGAAGGTGAAGGCCGCGAGCACTCCGGCATCAGCAACGGCAGGATTCCACAGGCGCAGCAGGCCGCTTTCCGGGACACCGCTCCGGGCGGTCAGAAGAGCGATCATCGCGCCGGGCGGTATCCACGTTGTCACTGGCGAAGGCGGAGGAAATCGTCCATGGCCAGTCTGTCCGGGTTCCAGCAAAGAAGAAAACCAGACCCGTCCTCCATCAGGGGAGGGCGGAAGGTACTACAATGCAGTGGATCCAGCTGACGGCGCACGCGCGCTTCGCGTCCAGCACCTTTTCCGGACATGGCCTTTCCCAAAGGGTCCTAGATACTGTTACGGGGGATACTTCCCCAAATACTTCCCCTAATTTTAATTCCTAATATAGAAACCCTACATTCTACTGTGTCATAGGTACTTGTAGGAACCTTTAAAAGAACCCTAATCCCTAAACCCTTAGTGAAACCCTTGTAGAAACCCTACACTCTACTATAAAGGTACTTTGGACCCTTTGGGTTTGTGCGTGGTATGCCCCTTGCGCTCCTTGCCAAGATTCAGATTTTCTAGTTGCGACGCAGCTGCCCGCTTGCGCGGCGGCATGGCGTCGAGCTCCAAACCTTCACGCCTTGAACACTCCCCTCCGCAAATGCTCGCATTGTCATTGAATCATGAAGCATTTCTTATTGAGAAGTATAGTAATTAAATACAAGGCTCACTCTCTCTTCTCTCTTTTCTTCTTGCGGAGCAAGCCGATTGTGCGAGTAAAAACATTATACAGTTCAGCGACTGTACCGTAAGACAAGTATATGTACTAATCATCGCCACCTAGGTTGCTTGAACAGCCCGCAATCCCGAAATGCACGTCGCCTAGGCTGTGTACTCCAACAAGATGGTTCCAACCCGACACCCTAACCCTATAAGGGTCCATGTACCCAAATAGTATATACTTTGGCCGTACAGTAGTCTCTACATAGATACATTGAGGCCAATGCACATACTATTTGGGTACATGGACCCTTAACGTACCAAGCCCCAACCCCTAAACCCTAGACCCTTGTAGTACCCTGATAGAAACCCTTGCAGAAGCTGCGTATAGGTACTTAGGACCTTTTGGGAGCAGTTATCGTAAACCCCAGAAAGTTGGAAACCGGATAAAGGCCAAATAGTGCTGGGATTCCCAGTGCATTCCTCTTAAAGATTCTGATTGAGGCTATTGGGTTTCTAACTTCTCGGCTTCTACTGTATGCTTTAGTATTTTAGTATACACCTACACACAAGCCCGCTGGAGGCAGGGGAATTATAACGTATGGTTTCTTCTGGTGCCATAGGGTCCTTTATAAAATGGCTCTACTTGGATTTTACTACCTGTGACCCCAAATCCTACAGAATAGTAGGTTCTGACCCCTTAGTTTTCAACGTAGGACTCTCAAAACGGTAGGCTTTTGGATCCACAGGTATACTTATCCGAGGGCTACCAGAGTAGTTATGCAGACCGTCACGTTACCGTCAGCCCTGTCAAGAGCCGGCAATTACTTGGAGGGGCAGCGGAGTTGGTAAGTAGATCATAAGTAGAGTTATAAGTACCCTAAATGGAGTTACCCCGATTATAACCCTACTTATAAACGACTTACTAAGTCCCCTGGCAGTCTAAGTATAGGGTGGTTACCCAAAGGGTCCAAAGTACCTTTATAGTAGAATGTAGGGTTTCTATATTACGAATTATTGTTGTGATTTGGGGAAGTATCCGCCATAACAGTACCTAGGACCCTTTGGGTTAGGGTTTAGGGTTCACGCAGGAATTCCAGGGGCTGCGCGACCGGTGGATTTGATCCAGCAGGCGTCCGAAGTCGCTTTGCAAAAGCCTGGGCGTAGGGATCCCCAAAGAAACGTTAACCCTAAACCCTACAAACCGTTAAGCCGCTAAACCCTAAGCCTTATGAGCCTTTAAACACCTAAACCCTATGAGCCCTTAAAACCCCTAAACCCTATGAGCCCTTAAACCCCTAAACCCTAAACCTTATGAGCCCTTTAAACCCCTAACCACTACACCTTTGCCCTGGATGGACTTGACGATTGCCGCAAACCCTAAGGGTCCATGTGCCCAAATAGTATATACTTTGGCCTTAAGCAGTCCTACATAGATACAGTGGGGCCAAAATACATACTGTTTGGGCACATGGACCCTTAGGGGTAGAGCCAGGGTCTTTGACAACTTCAATGACCAGGTCTCAAAGGTGGTCCTTTTCTCTGTGTGTAATGTTAGGTTCCTTTTAAAACTATCCAACAGCAACAAGGGGACCCTTCCGACTCCTAGGTTTCCGGGGATCCCAGGAACGATGTAAAGCGTGCCCAGAATGGTAGTCCTTTATAAAGTTCGCAATCAGAATGTATAAGATACCCTAAAACCATCCTCATCAGTACGGGCCCTGTAGGAAATTGCCATAAAATCGTATGCTAGGGAAATGTCTTGCGGTTCTGACGATCGAAGACTCACGGAGGCGCCTGAGCACCTCAATCGGGAAGCTCTCTAAAACCAGTGTTTAGGGTTTACCTGGACCCTATAAAACCATCCTTTTTAGGGTTCCCTATTATAGGTTAAATGGGGTTAAGATCGGGGTTTAGGGTTCCGGGGATTGGGGTACAAAAGACAATACGGCACCCTTATAAAAAGACCCCTACAGGGAAGCCATCCGAATGCGTTCGGGTTCTCGCAGCTGAGCCGAGGAGCAGGTCGTGCGGGAGCACACCGCTGGAGCTGCGCTGGTCGATGTCTGTCAAGCAGGGTAGTGCTGGAAAGGTGGACATTGGGTATTTAGGGATCTTCAAAGGTTTAGGGTTCAGGGGTTTTTTAGGGCCGTAAATAGCGGTTTACGGTGTTTAGGGTTTGAGGGATTAGGCGGTTAGAGGTTGGGATGCATGCTCAGGGGCTTCACAACTACCAGGCTACAAGAATGAAAATCCGGAAACAACGAGGCGTCCTGAAATCAGTGTTGCGCTCAAACCCTTGACTTCAATCGCTTCCTACCGGTCCTACCGCTGGAGACATGCATGCTTTCTTTGACGACATCAGACTTGGCAGACTTAGCAGGAATCCATTCCCTGCAAAACAGGGCACCAGGGACAGCACGTGCTTCTGCGCCAAGCCCCCGCAACCACATTGGGCTGCGGTTTGTCGCAAAGCGTTCGTGGTCTCAAATGGGAAGCATGGGGCTAGAGGCAAAGCGTTTGGGAATGATGGTACTTTGGCAGAGAATTCCGCTCGACAGGACGAGGGGTCGAAAATCATTGCTGTTTTCGTGGTGCGCGACAGGAAAAGTTGCATTCTTGCAATGTCCCCTGAAACCTGAAACTCTAAGTGTTTGAGGGTCAACCTGAGCCCAGACATCCTCAGAATGCTTTGCACAGCGTAAAGTCGAGATTCCATCCGCTCGGGGGTTCCAAGTTTAGGATGTTTGGATCAAGGTGCAAAGCATCTGATCGAAGTCTTGGCACGTTCAAATGGATCTGGAGCGTCGGCGATGGAGGGGGGCGCAAGTCCGGAAGTGGATAAACGTGCGCCCCACTGGCAGCAGAACCTGACGCAGAAGATCACATCGACTGCGGGATTCCAAAGTGCCGCAAGGACAAGCGAGGCAGTGTCGTTGTGTTCGGTGAAGAGCTGCATGACGCGAACGAGCTCATACTCCCAAACCCAGCCTACCCGCCACCCTCCACGCTGCAGGTGACCAGTAACGCGGATCACCACCAAGACAAAGCGTCTGGGCATTCGTAGACAGGTGCAGAGACGAGATGTGGCCGTCAGTGTTAAAGTTACAGCCCTGATGATTAAGCCCGAGCAGAAAACCTCGAGGGCAGTGGCAGCTGCCGGCTGCGTGCCAGCAAAACCCAAGAACAACTGCCTGAAGAGCCATCAAAATCACCTGAGCAGCCGGCTCCCCACTCGCGGCGCCACTTCTCGGCGTCCGAAGTCAAGCAACGCGAACTGCAAGGCAGATGAACCCGTCTTGTGCATGGCTCAGAACTTGTACCAGGCTATACAATACATAGCCCCAGAGATCCAAACATGTGCAGAAACAAGACACAGATTGTTCAGACAGCCCTGAAGCGGGTTTCATGAGTCTCACTGAGGCCCAGGCCTCTTCCGGCCCCGTTCCTCCCCTGCAAAACACCTGCCATGTAAGGCTCTTCCGGGAACATGCCGCGGCACATGGCGCTCCAAGAGAACATGCAGTGAGCGCCCCCCTCCGCCAGAAACGATGCAGTCTCCTGGTCCACAAATGGCCCAGGACTTCGAAACGAGGGAACAGGCGCAACCGGCTTTAGGAGAAATTGCATGCACAGTAGCCATCGCAAACAACAAATCCTCTGACTCCTGGTTCAGAGTATGACCCAGGACATCGACAAGAACATGCCGCACGAAATGCACGTCGCTCTAGAAAACATCACACAACCACGCACAGACGGAACACTTGCTGCACCAGCGCACGTCGTACTTAGTATGGCATTCGCTGGCTGGGATCGCAGCCATAAGCAGCTGCAAGCTCTTCTTCTTCTTCGGTGGCAGCAACCTCGTCACACAATCAAGGCACCACGTCACTACGCAGGACGTGGAAAGAAGTCAAGTGCAACATGTATCTTAAAGAGACTGTCCGCAATGCTGCCTCGGCAGCTGCAGCTTCCTGTTCCGCAGCCTGCGATGGCAGATGAGGGCAGACGCACACCAGAACCACTCCGGCGGTTTGGCTACAAGCCCGCAGCAATCGGCCTCGGCCTCCCGCTTTGGCCTCGGCGACCTTCGTGTACATGTGGGGTGCAGCTTTCTCATCCTTTTCCGCGCAGATGGGCCTTTCGAAGAATCGCGGCCAGCTCCTACCCCCCTAAACCCGAAACCACAAACCCTAAACCCTAAACCCTAAACTCCTAAACCCTAAACCCCAAACACTAAACCCTAAACCCTATACCCCTAAGCCCTAAACCCTTAAACCCCAAACTCAAGGCGTAGGCCGCCCACCTCCGTGGGTGGGCGGCGCTTAAGCCCCCCGACCTCGATGGCGCAGCCCTGGCCTTGGCTGCCCTGCCGTGCCCTGCCCTCTTACCCCGCCCTGCCTTGCCCTGCCCTGCCCACCTTGCTGCTGCTGTTGTGCGGCTGAAGAAAGAGAGAAAACCATAGAATGAGTTTAGGTGCTAATCCCGAAAAGGAATAGGTTTGGGCGGTTTGGCCGCCTTAGACGGTGTGGGGTGGGAGCGTGAAAAGAAGGAGCCATCCATAATCAGGCTCCAGCGACCAAACGTCAGAAAACGACACACTCGAAATTACACTGTCGCAAGATACTTCCGCTTCTGCGCCATTCGACGGCAAACCCTAAACCCCAAAACCCCAAACCCTAAATCCTAAACCCTAAACCCCAAAACCCTAAACGCCGAACCCTAAACTCTCACGATGGTCTGACCGGTGTTTGGACCAGATGTTGCCTTGGTGATGGTGGAGAGTCGCCGTAGGTGGTCGATAGTATTAGTACTAGTACTAGTACTAGTAGTAGTAGCAGTAGCAGTAGCAGTAGCAGTAGCAGTAGCAGTAGCAGTAGCAGTAGGAGTAGGAGTAGGAGTAGGAGTAGGAGTAGGAGTAGGAGTAGGAGTAGGAGTAGAGTAGCAGTAGTAGAGTAGCAGTAGCAGTAGTAGTAGAGTAGAGTAGAGTAGAGTAGTAGAGTAGGTAGTAGTAGAGTAGTAGTAGTAGTAGTAGTAGTAGTAGTAGTAGTAGTAGTAGTAGTAGTAGTAGTAGTAGTTGTAGTAGTAGTAGTAGTAGCAGCAGTAGTAGTAGTAGGAGGAGTAGTAGTAGTAGTAGCAGTAGTAGCAGTAGCAGTAGCAGTAGCAGTAGCAGTAGCAGGAGCAGTAGCAGTAGCAGTAGCAGTAGCAGTAGCAGTACAAGTAGCAGGAGTGGTGGTAGTAGTTGTTGCCGTTGTGGCTGTTGTTGCAGTTGTGGCTGTTGTTGTTGCTGCTGCTGTCGTTGGCGGTGGTGTTGGCGTTGGCGGTGTTGGTGTTTGTGTTGGTGCTGGAGCTGGTTGGTGCTGGTGTGGTTGTTGTTTTCGTTGTCGTTGTTGCTGCTGCTGCCTCGTGGTGACGCTGCAGGCCCCGCTGCTCGTACCTGGCCCACCTGATCATCCTGAACTCTAAACCTTTTAGGCACTAAACCCAAAACCCTAAGCCCTGAAAGCGAAATCTTAAGCCCTAAACCCCAGACCCTAAATCCGAAACCTTAAATCGTAAACCCTCGACCCTAAATCCGAAACCTTAAACCCTAAACCCGAAACCTTAAACCCTAAACCTTACCCTTCCGGCCACCCCGGCCTCCCCTGACATCAAAGTCCACAGCTTCAGCGAGAAGGACTATGGGATGCTCCGGACAAGCCTTCAGGACGGCAGTTGGACCCGAGAGTAACCTAGGAATAAAAAGGTTTTTTGCGTTAAAAGGGCGTATAAGGGAACCGAACCCTAAACCCCTAAACCCTAAGCCCTAGGTCCTAGGCAGACGTAGGTTCAGGGCTCAGGGTAGTTAGGCTCGGAGGATTAGGGTTTAGGGTTCAGGGTAGTAGGGTAGTAGGGGGTAGGGAGTTAGGGGGAGTTAGGGTTAGGGGTTTAGGGTTTAGGATATGAAGGTTTAGAATTTGAGGCATTAGGGTATATTTATTTCAGGATTAAGGCCCAGGGCAGTAGGATATCTCGAGGGCATGGGTACTAGGAATTCGGGTGCGTAGGAGTTCATAAGCGGCCTCAACAGCTTCAATACTTGGAGGGGCAGGGGACTTGGTAAGTCGTTTATAAGCGGGGTGATAATTGGGGTAACTCCATCTAGGGTACTTGTAACTCTACTTGTAACCTACTTACTAGGTCCCCTGCCCCTCCAAGTAGGGCTGATTGAAAGCTTCTTTGGAGGGGTGCGAGAAGGGTCACTCGTAGGGTTCCGTCACTGAGGGGATGAATTAAAGAAGCCTAAGGAATCATATTTGCAATTATGAAGGCATCTAATATAAGGGCCTCAACAATTAGAATAGCGGCTGGGGCTCACTATACTAGAACTATAGTTAAGGGAGTCACCAAAATACTATAGGTACTTAGTAAGGCCCCTATATTATACTAGTTACGATTTAGCTTTGTGTATACAGTAGAGTTCAGACTCGTGGCTTGCAGAATAGGTGTCCTTGCCAACTAATCCCTAAGGCTCCATGTACCCATATAGTACATGCTTACTTGGAGGGGCCGGGGCCTTAGTAAGTAGTGTATAAGTAGAGTTATAAGTACCCCAAATGGAGTTACCCCAATTATAACGCCACTTATAAACGACTTACTAAGTCCCCTGCCCCTCCAAGTAGGCCTTAAAGTACCTATATAGGGACCTCTTTAAGGCTTACGTATCTACTGTAAAGGTACATGGAGCCTTGGGGAATTACATGGGTGGTTGTCAAAATTAGTGTTTGGGTACCAAGTTTTTGGGTGCCGTATTATATTAGGGACCCAGAAAAGGGACCATAATTTTGACAACCACCCACATGCTGCAAAGTAAGATCGCAGCTACTTTCGGGCTCAAGGTTTCGGGTACTACAGTATCAGGGTGCAGGGTTTAGGGCACCAGCAGTAGAGTATTGGACGGGGTTTAGGGTTCAGGGTTTTTGGGTTAAGGCTTTAGGGTTAAGTATGGCTTACTGCGGTTCTCCACACAAGGCACCCATGAAATCGAGCCCTCAACCCAAAAGGCCTCACAGCGCAGGGGTTTAGGGCCACACACTCCTAAAGGCGAGTTTGGGGTTTAGCTCCAGTGGGTTTCGAAAACCATACACCGTTAAACTTTAAACCTGCAGCCCTAAAATCTAAACCCTAAATCCGAGTCCCTATACACTTTTTACTCAGTAAACCCTACGCCTGAAACCCTAATCCCTAGGACCCACACCCTAAACCCTGCCTAAACCAGGAAACTCGGGAGCGCCTGGCTGAGCCGCAGCGCCGATTCAAGAACGCTGCAGGTGCTGACCACGGCCGGTTGGCTCTCCTTGCAGATAGTACAAAGTGAGGCTTGCAGGGGAGGATGATGGCACAATGATGATGATAATGCCACTCAGAGATTTACTTAGCCACCTTGATTTAGAGTTTGATGATGTTGGTGGCCATTTTGGGCTGGGATCATTATGGTACTTCTGCTTTTGAAACCCATCACAACACTCCTGCTCGACACCTATGCGTCGTCCTGGTTCCAGTCCTCTTTCGGTCATGCGACTTCTACCATATTACTCGCGTGTATATAATCATGTAATCATATATATATATATATATATATATGTATGTTTCATATAGGTATAAATATGCATGCACAGACACAGACCCACACACACACAGCGTTCTGTATGTGCGAGGTTATGTACACACTACTACGACATACTGCAACAAACTCTCGTCAGAACCAGATGCGTGAACACAGGCAGAAATCGAACGCACAAGTGCCTGAGCCAGGGAAACCCTGAACCCATGCATCTTAAAACAATAAGCCCCTAATTCAAATCCCCAGCCCTTGGCCTTTAAACTCCAGACCCTACTTGGAGGATCATGGGACTCAGTAGGTAGGTTATAATTGGGGTTATAAGTCCCCTAAGTCAGGTTATCCTAATTATAACCTACTTATAACCTTACTTACTAAGTCCCATGAGCCTTTAAGTAAACCCTAAACCCTCAGAGCCACGGTTTAGGGTTTAGGACTTATATAGGGTTTAGGAGAATCTTGGGGTTTAGGGGCTTAGGGCTTTAGGGTACAGGGGTTTAGGGTGGGTCTACGAGGGTTTAGCGTTCCCAGAGACTCCAATGGAATAGACCTTAAATTATAGTAGGAGCCCTAATATGATTTAAGGAATATTCCTTAACTAAGGGATATTGAAGTCTCTGGGAAGTGGTACCAAGATGATGAAGGCATATAAGGATCCCTTAAAGGAGCCCTTAACCCTAAACCCTAAACCTTAACTTGAAGCCCTT